AGATTTGGAAAATGATTACATACATCCGAGTGACGTTTCTGAAACTTTGTTCATTTTGAAGCAAATGAAGAGAAAGTGTAAAACATATGGAGCTGTTATAGAAACTTCCACGCTGCATTATCACTCTGTGTCTGTTCTAGTTGCTTCAGTGTCCCCTGCTCCCACCTACCCATTGAAACTTGCAGACCCTGACTCTGGTGCACTCAGCAGAGCTGCATCGTGACTAAATGTGAATTCTGTGTGCTAAAGAGCCAGATGGACTTTGCTCACCCCCCTGTTTCCTCTGACTTTGAGGTTTAGATGGAAAAAAAAGTAATAAAATAAATAAAAACGGTCTTCATCTCTCTGCAGCCATGGGAGACCTTTAGACTCCTTAAGATGAAAAAAATATGAAAAGGTGAAAGTCTGGGGGAAAAAAGACGCAAACTAGATTTTTTAAAAACGGATTAAATGAAAGCATGCAATTACGCAAAAATCAATGTTAAAAACTTAAATTCTTTAAAAAAAAAAAAAAGTAATCCCATAATAACCCATCCTCCCTAAGTGCAAGGTTTATCTTTGTTTCGCGAAAGCTGAACTGGGAAGCAGTCCTTGTAGGGGCGATCATTCACCAAACCCAGTTGCGCACGACTTGGTGACATCAGTGGGGACGAGAGGTCCTGAAAAATGACTCCTGGGATTGTGTGACGACAGTGACCGGGAAGTATAAAAGCAGAGCCGAAGAAGCTGTCAGCTCATTTACCTCCAGGATCTGGCCTAAAGGGTCACCAGGAGCTCCGAGAAGCGGGGAGAAACCATTCGCAACGCTGCCAGCGGTGCCTCTGGGTGGAGACGAGGAGAATTTGGATACGTTTCATGTGAGTCTGGCGCTTTTCAGCATTCTAGGTTTGAGATTGTGGTTCGCACAGATTTACTGTGCGTCATGCGCTTGTAAATGAGCTTTGTTCGTTTCTGAAAGTCCAGAAAGCAAACAGTGCAATTCGTGCATCATCAATCTATTATTGACTTAGTAATTTAAGCATGATTTCTAATGAAACTTTGACTTTGTGTGGAATCTTTTTTCTAGTAGAGGGCGAAAAAAAATAACTAAAATAAAGCCATGAAGTCGGCAAGCCTTCTAGTCCTGGCATCTTTTGTGATCTGCAACTTGGCAGTGTGTGATGGACAGGGTCTCCCTGCTGAGGACGAGATGGACCGAAGGACCACCATAGACAACCTCATGCTACAGAGAGCGCAGAGCCTCCTCTTACGGTCTATTCTCAAAAAGCTACAGGATGGAGACGATAGAAATGGTGCGTGAAGCTCATAGCTTGGATATTTTTCGGCAAAAAAAAAAAAAGTCTTACTCTGCAGCATCATACGGTCATGCTATTTTTTTAAAAATTGTTTAAATGTATATTTACTTGTTTAAATCCAGCATTGCATATTATTTTCTGTTACCTGTAAGCCTCACTGCCTTTACCGTTTCCTGGGAACTATTTTTCCCCTCAAATCTCATCATGAGTTAATTACAAAATGTTGTTGGATTCTCTGTTTCTAAAGAGATAGAGAGAAACAGAGTTGGGGAAATGTGAACCGTAAGATGCTGTCTTGTGCGTAATTTACGCACGGCGCGCACCGACTGTAAAAATCCTTCTTGCTGCAGTTTGTCTCTGCTGGAATTGACTCAGTAGAGCAATACTAAACAAGACCTCAACTCTTTTTGTCCAGATGGGATTTTCTCACAACCAGAATGGGTGACAAAAAGACAGCATCCCGGCAAGCGGTACTTCGAGGACCTGGAGAAGCGGCAGCATCCGGGCAGAAGGGAGGTGGTCGACGACGAGCAGTTCTGGGACATGCAGAAGAGACAGCATCCCGGCAAGCGCGAAGATGAGATGCACTCGTTCACGGAGTTCCACAAGAGGCAGCATCCAGGGAAGCGCTCCACCACGGGACACATTCCCGACAGCCCCGTCGCGCTGCTCAGCGAACTTTCCAAGCGCCAGCACCCGGGCAAGCGCTATCTGGCGCCGCGCAGCAAGCGCCAGCATCCCGGTAAGCGTCTTCTCGAAGACGAGGACGGTGAAGCGGACTGGATTGAGGACGGAGAGGAAGACGCGTCAGAGCTGGAGAAGCGTCAACACCCGGGGAAACGCTTTTGGGATAACTCCAGTCCGGAATTAAGCACCAGCAGCCCGTGTGACGTTTTGGACTCTGACAGCTGCAGCAAGACCAGCCTGCTGCTCGACTTCCTGGAAAACATCAACAAAAGCCACGCCGAGGAGAAGAGGCAGCACCCGGGGAAAAGGTTTGCACCGGAGGAGGAGATGGAGGAAGGAGAGTAGGGAAAGAAACAGTTGTTCTGCTTTGTTATCAACCAATAAACTAAATGATCAATATGAAATACTGAAAATTATTTTAATTATTTAACCTTCTGAGCCATTTTTCTTTGGCACACAGTTTGTAACACTAACGCATATAGCATCAGTCTCAAATTCTTCTTTGGAGCGCTTGTGCGTAATTATCCTCAATATCTTTAAACTTTGCTGTAAATACAGATGTAGGACGAGGGGATCTTGAGTTACGTTACGGTTTATTATTTTTCATTAGAATATTTATGACTCGTTTCAATAGTAGGATTATAATTACTGGCTTCAGCAATGTCGCCTCTGTGAGGCAGCACGTCCTTGTCAGTGTGGCACATGACATACCTGAGTCCAGAACTGATGACAACTGCCTCGCTTGCATCAAATAAAACTCTTGACTCATCGATTTGTGTTTCATTTAAACTTATGTAAAATATAAAGAATTCTACAGCAAATTAAGTGTCACCCTTTATTTTTACATCGCTTTATAAATGAAGTTCATTACAGATGCTTCTGGTAACCAGTGCAAGCAAAAATGTGAGTGCAGTGCAGATGTATTGCAGCTTTCCGTTTCCTCAATTACACAGTGTTCAGCCAGTCACAATCTTCTGTTATAAAGGGTCATTTATGTAGGCAAATAACAGGGGGGATGGTGTCAAGTGTCCACTCTTTAATTGGAATCCGTCCTCAACATGCAAATTCATCCAGAAGCATCAGAACATTCAGACAAAAATGTTTCACTGATTCTCGTCCACGTTCTCACAACTCCAGCCCACTGAGAACACTGTCAACATTTCACCAGCAAAAGCTGTGTAACAACATGCACACATTTTATTTTTGATTGATTTTAATCAATGAGTAGGAATTCTGTAAACGGTCAAAATTACATCAGTCAAGCTACCCTATTAGTCACAATTGAGATGATTTTGTTCATTTGGTGTAATCTGCAAGTAAAAAAAAAAGGTCTTTGAGGAATAAAACTTTATTAAAACAGTAATAAACTTTTTAAAAAGATTCTAAAAAAGATGGTACGTCAACCTTTATCATGGTAGCCACAACAAGGATGTCCTGTTTCTCACAAAACAGGACATCTTCCAAAGGCCAGAATAAGCACAGCCAACATTTTGGCACTGGTGTTGTCACTAAACACATTATTGACAACAAGCGTCACAATGTAAAAGCTGGATACAAAAACTCAAATAAATAATTGAAATGCCTATATAACTTGGACATTTCCATGACAACAGCAGCTGAGACATTATTGTTCATTAGCAACTGCAGCCTCAGGGTTAAGAAGCCCCGCTTACTACTGAGTTTATGTCTGAGTCAACTCATTGTTGTTGAGTTGACTGAAAACTTTTGGGTTTTTGCAGACTGACCACGTGAAACTTTTCCCATACTTACTCTTATAAATGTAAATGATCATACAGTCCCCAGCAAAATCTTCCTGATGCGGTGCCAGGTGACGGAGCACAGAGAGCAAAAATCAATTGCAGAGGAAAGTATGAAAGGGAATAAAAGTAAAGTTCATGTTACTGTGTGATTTAATATTTCTTTATTTTATCTTCCGAAAAAAAAAAGTCCCTCTTTGAACCTCCCACAAAAAGCTTTTAAATATAAATATAACAAATGTAGTTTTTAACACTTGTTCATTTTTATTTGAACAATTTAATTGAATTTCCAAACTGAATGAAGTACTAATATTTTCTGCATCTAATTGTTTTTTTTTTGTCATTGAGTTGAAAACATTCTTTTTCACAACATGGAAGAAACTATCTATTCTCTTCTGCAAAAGTTTTATCATTATTATAACTGATGTTATTTTGTTAAATCCTAGAAATAGGAATACAATCTCAGAATCCCTGTGGTTACCACTTCAATCTTTTTATAATCAATTATTAAAATGTAGCTCTATCTAGTTAAAGGGTGATTTTGTTTTGAGTAAAGATCAAAGGTTAAAGATTGAAGATTTCACTTTATCACTTTTTCAAAGTGTCTGCCAATATTTGTCATAGCATATCTCAGGTAGAATGTAGGTTCTTGGTGTCTGAATAAGCTTTGAGGATACTTTGGTGGAAAAACTAGAGAAATTCTGAAGAGGAAGGCTTTTTGGGTCCTTGCTGGTTCTGACACCAGAAAACAGTTTTAATCAGGGCTGGACAAGAGTATCTGCAGCCAGGTCGGTCTATGATTACTTTCTCTGAACCAAATTGGGATTCATCCATCTCTTTCTCACTCTGAGTCAGAGGAATTGCTCTTTAACACCTGGAACGTTTGAGAAACTGCTGAGCAGTTTTGTTTTGACCCTTTTTTTCAGTGTTTGCTATGAAGCGATGACACGAACTGGAGATTAAATTCAGAGGGTTTTCACAGGAGTTATATGGAAACAAGCAAAGAACACTGAGTTGTTAGACCTTACATAAAACTTGTAATTATTCTTTATCTGCCAAATTTTGGTTTATTTCACGCAACATCACCTCTGCACATTTTAGAGTTCCGATTTGTTCAAGAGATTGAACTCGAGTGAGTCAAACTAATACATTTTAAATGACCTAGTTGGTCTCTTGGCATTTCCTCCCTTGAAAATCCAAGAAAACTAAAAATCACGCAAGATGAACTTGGTTCTGGTTTGTACTGTAGGGAGCCAGGGAGCCAAAAATAAAGACAAAAGGTTTTTAAACGTTTTCAATGACACAGAAATAAACAGTGAACAATACAGTGAATAAAAGCAGCTTTCAAACTTTGGTTCTGGCTTGTCTGGTCTAGTCAGCCCGTTTTTCTCCCAATCTTCTTCTTTGAATCAGCACTAACAAGCCACCGTGACGCCATCAGGGCCATGGAGGAGTGTTCCTCCAAGTCTACTAAGATATGTATTGAAAAGACGATTTTGTTATTTAATAAAGAAAGCACTAAAACGACATTAGAACATTGTCTGTCATCTACAGGGAGTAGATGACAGACGTCCAAAATGGCCTAAAATTGTACCGTGATGTGTTTAGTTCCAGTTCAAAGAAAAGAATGACAACAAACTTGTTTTATGGCAGAAAAGAGAAAAGTCTAAACGGATGTTTTTGGAACATCCAATGGATCGTCTGGATCATCGTTGCAGAAGGTAATGTATAAACAGCGCCCCTTTGTGGATTGATAAAGCTATGGATAAAATTCCTGCGAGTCCATCCCAGTGAAGCCTGGAGGTTTCTTCCTGCCACACCGAGGGGCCAGACAAGTACAGCGAGGTGGAGTTGACTCCACCCACCAGTGACTGAAAGAAGGAAGAGGCTCATATTGCCTGTAAGACAGCGTCCTGGGTAAATTTGCCGACATTTCCTGGTTTTCCATTTTATGACGAGGAGCTGCTTTGAATCCTCGTCAGGAAAATTTCCCCCACAAGTTTTTTATTTATTTTTTTATTTTATCCGTCTTTCCCCCCCAACAAATCTCCCTCGTAGTTTCCCGCGTGGCCTCCGCAGGGTGAAAGTCTCCTAAACACGTTCATGGGCAGTTTTTTCGAGGTACAGGAGAACCAAACAACCAAATAACCGCGCGTGAACTTTTATTTTTTTGCATGCAAGCAAAAAAGAATGTTAGCTGCGTGTGTTGCGTTTTAGCTGTTATTATTATTCTATCAGAATGGATAAAGCTGATTTTCTGACTCGCATCCTGACGACAGGAAACAACTCAACGATTCTCGGTGGTCAGTCTCCTGCCAGCGTCATTAACACCCGGAAGTACGTGCCTGTCGCCGCCAGGCCCGGTAACCAGGGTTTTCTGGATGACGCCATCCGGACTGCTCTCTGTGGCGAGGACAGAACTGTCGTGGTGGTCGGTCCAGAAGGTTCTGGCAAAACCACCGCTTTGCACAAGCTTCTTGTCGATTGGGCTAGTGGAGAATGCCTGCAGAACTTTTCTCATGTTTTCAACTTCCAGTTTACAAAAATAGGGTCTTCAATGGATGAACTTTGTTTGGAAACTTTAATCCAACAAGGTTACCATCAAAGACCCCCAGACTTCACACGTCTGGTTACAGAGGAGCCTGATGGCGTGTTGTTTGTATTTGATGGTCTGGATGAGTTTAAGCACAGCCTGGAGCCCTCAGTGCACACCCTGACCTCTGACCCTTACCATCTGGTCTCGGTGTCCTGCCTACTGGCCAGTCTGCTTCACGGGTCCCTGATGAAAGGAGCCACCTTTCTTGTTGCAACCAGACCCACAGATGGCATGAAGTCCATTGGTGGGATTCGGTTGGATGTGTTGGAGTTTCAGAAACCGCAAAGAGAGGTTTACTTTAACAACTTCTTCCCTGACCCCACTGTAGCCAGTGAAGCGTTTCTGCACATGGAAAGAACTCTGGGCTTTTATGATTTTTGTGTTTCTCCCAGGTTTTGTTGGACAGTCTGCTCTATTTACGAGCGGCTTATCGATTCAGGTACTAAACTTCCTGAGACTCTCTCTCAGCTGTTTGTGGATATTTTGGTCCACCTGATTCAGACTCTCTCGCTGAACAAAGAACGCAGTAGAGGGTTAGTGTTGGCTCTTGGCAGAATGGCATCTCACTGCCTCCACGACCAACATTCAAGCTGTTCCAAACACGCCGTTGATTTCTTTGGTTTGGAACAGAGTATTACCTCTGTGGATAGTTTCTTGAGAGTTCACGGTGACGGAGAGCTCTCCTTCCACTCCAAACTGATGCAGGAGTTTGTCTTGGCTGTGGCTTTCTTTTTGGACCCGTCGACACACAAAGACGCGGAGAAGATGCTGGATAATCACAAAGGTTGTTCAAAGTTTCTAGATTTCTTTATGTCAGGGCTCTCTGAGCCTGCCCAGTACAGATTGCTGGAAGACTCACTGGGAATGTTCAGCTCTGATCAGATTAAAGGTTTTAAAAGCTGGTTTAAAAGCAGCTCAGAGAAAACACTGAAGAATTATGACAAATCAGAACACTACAGATGTTTCCATTTGCTGCATCAAGCTCAGAACGAGAGTTTGGTAAAGGAGATCCTCAACCCTCCTGCACACCCGTGCATCTTTCACGAAAACCTGAGTCTCCAGGACTGCGCAGCTCTGAATTACGTGATCACATGTCTGGGCGAAAGGGAAAAGTTGAGTGTTTCCAGAACAACAATATTAAGAGAGATAATGGAGATCTTGGCTCCATCTGTGAGTCTGTCACACACAGTGATGTAAGTGAAAAGTGCTCTTAAACAAAATGACAAACATTTGTCATGTGCAGCATCATATGTATGAAATGCAATGCCGTCTCCTCCAGATTGTCAAGCTGCTCCATTCATAAAGACTGCATCCCTCTGCTGGCATCAGCTGTCAGCGCGGGCGCCACCAGAGAGCTGAATCTTTCTCATTCCATCCTCGGAGATGAAAAGTTGCAAGTTCTCTGTGCGGGATTAAGAGAGGCCAAGCTGCATGGACTAAAGTAAGGCAAAACCCTTTTTAAATGGTTTTTTTTTTGCTAATAATACAATTCTGTGATAAAATATTCCCATCACATTTTTTTAGTCACATTAACATAAATTGCATCAAACAATTAAGACAATCAATTGTTTGACTTACACTTCATGTTGAGTTGCCAAAACACATATTGATGGCCTTTAAATTTTACAACATTCTCAGCATTTAAGAAAACGAAAAAAAAAGTACATCAAACTGTTTGACTGACTGAAGGGGCTTTTCTTCTTCACTTGGGTGATGCAGCTGCTTTTTGCTCTGAATCACATAAAAAGGACAAAGGAAAGATTTTTGAGTGGGCTAGTCAAAATTTAAGCAGAAATTTGATTAAAATGCTTTGACATGACTTTTTTTTCTCTTGAATAGCTAATTTTATAATTTTAAAAACTATTTGTTTAAACAAATAGTTTCTACTGGGTATAAACTACTGGGTATAAACAAAAGCTTCAACTGCGAATAATGGTATAAAGAAAAAAGAAAACAAGTTTGTAAGTGGGCTTATATGCTTCTGTAACACTGTAGATATTGCTCAAAAGAAAATACAGAACATAACAGAAGCTGTTGTTGTGTTTGATATTTGAAGTCTTAGTGTCTGTGGTCTGACTGCGCCGTGCTGTGGTGATCTGGCCACTTTGCTGACCTCGCAATCCTTCCAACTCCAAATTTTACAAATGATGTTTAATCCCATCGGCGATCAGGGCTTCACAAAGCTGTGCGAAGCAATGCACAGTCCAAACTGCAAACTACAGGAGCTCCAGTAAGTTCTGAAATAGTATGGATTCATATTTCAACATGTCCATCCTTTGTTAAATGATCGATTTTTCTTGTTAACAGCGTTCAAAAGTGCGATTTGACTGCAGCATCCATGGAGGCTTTTGCATCGGCTTTGTGTTCCGGTCAATCACGGTTGACAAAAATCGACTTCAGGGGGAACACGACTGGCGACAGTGGAGTTGAAGCTTTATGTAAAGCCCTCCGACAGCCACTTTGTAAACTGCGGAGCCTCGGGTAAGAATCTGCTGTAAGGTCATAAAGTCATGATCGGCTCAGTTTCATTTCCTGGAGTAATTTGATTTTCTAAAAGCTGTATGTTTTTAATCTGTTTTGCAGATTGTTTGACAACGGTTTGACAGGTGCATGCCTCTCCAGTTTGAAGGAGGTCTTCATGTCTGAACACTGCTGTCTGTCAGAGCTTGACCTGTCATTGAATAATTTGGGACAGGAGGGGGCGCTGCTGCTTTGCCATGGCCTGAAATCACCCAGTTGCCCCATAGAAATCCTGAAGTAAGCTCTTCTCCCAATTATTTATTTCAATTCAGTCTCTAGTTGCTTTTTTACAGATGTACTCTACCTGACACCTTATCTGTTTTCTTTGTTTGAGTGTTTGAGAAGTTCCTGTAAAACATTTCCACATGTAAACTTTGAAGAAAAATAATTCTCAATTTAATTGCTTTGCCATTTAGCTAAAATAAGTAATTTGGGCAAGCTTACCCAACTTAAAACAGGAAACTTTTGTCTCATTTCATGTCAAACTGTGAGCAACATGACATATTTGTTAAAAGAATAAATTTTGTAAATATTCACTAAACAGCCATGTATTGTCCTCTGACTGTTTCTGCAGCTTGACACGATGCGAGTTGACCTCAGCAGTCTTCGATGAACTGGGCTCAGTTCTTAAAAATGGGACATGTCAAATCAAATCTCTACTTTTAGCCATCAACAAGGTGGGAGACCAAGGCGTTAAATATATCTGGGATGCTCTTGCACATCCAAACTGCTTATTGGAGGAACTGAGGTGAACTAATGAGGAGAAAACAAAATGCTCTTGTACTAACAGTGCACCACTCTGAATCTACTTGTTTCCCTGCACCATAGCGTGGAAATGACCGGATTGACAGATGCCTGTGTTGAAGACCTGTGTGCTGCTCTCAGAGCCAGTCATACCCTGAAACTCCTGGAGCTGAGAAACAACTCTCTCACTGACGCTGCTGTCCCTGCGATTGTCCAAGTCATGAAGGAAAAACAAAACATGAAGGAGTTAAAGTACGTTGGGCACACTTGAATCATGAACTGTAGGCAAACTCAATATTTTTAGAGTTTTTTTTTGCATGTCATCAAAATCTAACTTCATTTATTCTCTCCTCTTACAGCCTGAAGTATAATGACTTCAGTGAAGATGCTCTTGAAATGTTAGATACATGTCACAACATTAGATACTGAAGAAATCATTTAAAGTTCCACCCAAAAACCTGAAGTGACGCTCAGACACAAATACCATCTAATTATAACATAAAGAAAGTATCCGTCCCCTTAGAGTTTTCTTTTTGTTGTTCTTTTCACTTTTTTGTACTATCAACACAAGAACATGTGGTTACAGAAGCAGGACCAGCACCACACATGTTGAAGTTTGTTCTAAAAGTAAAAAACGTGTACTTGGGGGATGTGTTGGTTTTGTTTTATGCAAACTACTTAAGAAAGTGATCCATTTGAATGTCACCTTTTAAATGAAGAACATTTAATAATGGGGGCTGTAAGTGTTAACTTGAGGCTTATGAAACTACCATTCATTAAAGGAAAGATCCAACTCTACAATCACTGCATTTATTGCACTTTTATCAAGAAAACTTTGGGATGTTTGACAATTTAAATCAAAAAGCACTGAAGCATTTGTCACTGTAATACAACAAATTCTTTGGAAGCAGTGATTTGTTTCACAGCAGTCATTGTCCATAAGAAAATCTATTTACAAGCATAAAGCATTGTAAGCAGCTCCCCGGTTGTCGCATTCCTCACACATTTCTTGTGTACTCGAGAGAAAAACACTACACGTAAACATTTCAAGTGTCCAAGGGTGTGCACTAACCTTGGAGTTTAACATCTTAGCACTCTTTGTAGGAAACATAATTCAAAGTTTATTGTAATAAGGCGCAGAGTGAGTCTCACCTGTATAACTGAAAGAAAAACATGATTGGAATAAAGAATGGGTCCCCTCTCTTCTCAGTGGTCATGAGTTTCTCCATTGAGGACACCGGTGTGGCTGCTGTCCCTCAGTTTGGAGGTTTGACAGTTTTTACTGCCATTGGAGGAAATGTCCTCATCTGTGCTGCTCTCTATGTCACTGCGATCGTCTTTCGACACCTGGAGAAAACATAAACAAGACCCATTGTTTAAACAAGCATGGGAGGTTTAAATCCATGCTCCAATTTTGCAAAAGTCTTCATGCCCTCACATTTTCCACATTCAAGGAGCAAATTTGTGCACTTGAAGTCAAATATTTTTTTCTGAAAAATGGTGTGGGGAGTATACTTAATCAGCGGACTTTAACTTTCATATCCATATATATGTAATTCCGTATAGTCTAATTAAATGGACTCCAACTTTATGCAGTTTCATATCAGTGTAAATTCATCTGAAAATAGAGGAGGCATTACAAAAATGGTCAAAAACTTGTCAACCTAAACCAAGGAGAAGAGCAGCAAAGAAGCCCAGGAAGGAAAAAGACGAAAGATGAAAACCTCTTGTTTCAAGAAAGACACAAGCTTTTGTATTTAGTCACAAGTCATGTTGGAGGCAAAGCAAACACGGATAGTAAGGTGCTCTGGTCACATGAAACCAAACTCATTTTTTTGTCTTGTGTGAAGTACTGTGTGACAACCCTCTGAATTACAACATAATGTATTTTCTCACCACGTACTGGTATGTGATATAACAATGCTATCTTCAGTTATAGAAAATGATGTACATATGAAACATAACTTTAAAGAAATTTTACTTCAGTTTGATGCCTTGAAAATGGGCCTGTCACTTTAAGAAGCTCCTGCTCTGACATTCCACCTTGAGCTCAATATCGCAGCAATTAAAAAAGATTTCTCAAACATGCATGAAAGAGTTAAAGCAGCACTAATTAAGTTTTTTTATAAGGAACTATTTTAACATGATAGAAAGCGCAAAAGTTAATTTTACACCCTCTTTAACAAGGTGATGGCAGCATCGTGCTGTGGGGATACAGATGAAAACTAGAGTGGATGAGATGCACCTAAAACAGGACAATCCTGGAAGAAATTGAGCAAAACCAGGAATCATATTTATTTTACTCAAAATTACTGCTTTGTGTTAACCTGTCACCTTAAACTGCACCAAAAAAAAAGCCTACGTGCTTTTTAAATTTACAGCAGCTGCAGCCTGAGGATGTAGACAAACCTTTCCCTTGAAGACAGCTTTGACTGCAATGCGAGCGATGAGGTAGAACCAGATGATGTGGAGAGTCTGCAGGACCAGCATTAACCCGTTTATCAGCCACCAGGCCTGATATGGACCGATAATTGTCCAGCTCTCAAACAGCACGCTGTAAACCATCCTACAAGAACCAGCCAAATAATGCATTTAATTAAAGAAAAAAAAAACTTTTTTTTATTTTAGAGTGTATTGATAAACTCTCACCAGAAAGGAAAAATGACGAGTCGAGTGAGAAAAAAGCTTATGCTGAACACCACAAACAAGCTGTCGCATAGCCTCTGGTACTTGGCATAGTTAGCCAACTTGGCTGCCTTTGAGAAACAAGACAAGCAAGTCGCAGCTCTCAGAAATGATGCATCAAAATTCCTCCACTTTGAGTCAACAGCTCAACTAATTTTTCAGCCGATGATGCAATCATTTACCTCGAGGAAGATGTCCGAAGCATCGTGCACACACATGACCAAAGTGCCAGCTCTTAGCATGTTGTTGGCATAGGAGATGGTGATGAGGAATATGGTGGCCAGGTGGTGGACGAGCATGATCATGAAATCCTGCCATCGTCACAATGAGACGGGACAAAGAATGACAGAGTGATAAATCAGTAAATCGGTAGGTATTTTGATGAAAGGCTGGGTTAAGCTGTATTAACGCTTATGAAACTAAGACTATTAAATCCTAAGTAAAATAAACCTGTTGGGATATACAACTTTTTAAATAAATAAAAATCAAATAAAATTTGTTGTGGTTTGCTCGTATTGATGATTGCGAGTACTAGTCCTACTATTAAACTTTATGACGGTGTGTTACGAAGAGGGTGTCGGAAAGCTTGTGCAACTTTCATACGTTAACCATTGTCCCATAAAACTGCAGATCTGTCTTCAGAGGACATTTTTCATGAAGCACGTTTGACTTGTTCTGTCTGATGCTGCAGTCACTTCTGGGGTTGTGCAAGGAGTTTGCACTCAACAGAAACTATTTAACGTCTTGTTTTAACTGTTCAAAAGATTATCCTCCGTCAGAAAAAAAGGTTCTCTCGAGCTATGCACTATGTTTTTTTTTTACTTTTAGGACAGGGAATTATGTTTGTGCTCATCTTGTTCTTGGAGTTATCTTCATTTTGCAAGTTTTAAAAAAAGGACGTTGGAGATTTGCAGAAACCCAAAGGGAGGCTGGTAACAACTTTTGCAACACAGATCGTTTAATGCACAAAATTAAGTCCACAACATATTTAACAATGAGTCATCTCATCTTCAAGTAACACCTGCAGCTGCCCATCTCTTAATAAAGCATTCAACAACTACATAAATTAATAACAAGGTCTTAATGTTGCTTAATGTGGGCTACTAGGTTAGTTAGATTCAGTGCCCTATTAACACCATTTTCTTTGATGCAACTAACCAAAAAAAAAAAAAAAAAAAAACATTGGTACATGTATGTTACCAAATTTTTTAGACCCCATCTACATAAATGATTTTTCTGAAATGTTCTTTTTTTAAAAAAAGACTTTCTAGCTAAAGGAAGTCTCCAGCGCAATCTCTAGTAAGATTTTCATCCAGAAAATATCCAGATTGTTACATCTATACCAGGTGTTTTTGAGGTAATGCAACAGTTACTGATTAACACCAAAACAAAGAAAACAGGAAACATGATCACATGAGAAGTTGTTACACTTGACATGCTTTCAGATGGCTTTTCAAATAATTGTATTTAGGTTATGTTCAACCCATTAGGTGCATGTGAAAATATGTTGCATAAATGAAGGAATGACTGGTTGCAATATACAAGCGCAGACCATTTACCATGTAGTAATTTAATTTACTTGGGTCCTTGCTAAAGTTTAACTCAACCAATAAGCCTTTGTAAGAAGACACAAGGTTTTTTGAGTTATACAAGCTTGGCCTTTTCTGAATTATCACAAAAGTAAACGTGAGTAGCATGCACAGGGACTTTGACTCCAACTGTGTACTTCTGCCTGATAAGATTACTTCAGCAGGATTTGGCATAAAATAAAGGGTGAGTATGTGGAAAATCCCCTCATGCTCAATAAATAAAGTGGAGGTTCTGTAATGCTGTGGGACTGTTTGTCTTCTAAAGGGCATCTGGAACTCTATAACAAAACCTAAAGGTACATATTTTCTGATATAGTTCAAGATAAAATCTAACTCCTGTTATATTTAAAACTGTAGAATATAACTTTTATAAAGAATGTTTTTACACATTTGTTGAACTTGTCACCATGTCATAACTGTATGTTATGAGGCAGCTTATCTGTGAAAAGATCGATCTCTGCCTCTTCCCTCTGCGTTCTGAAGAAATATGCCACTCCCGACCAAAAACAAACAAACAAAAAACGAACAAGGAAGAAGGTCTCAATGCTGTCAATCAACCCTGTATACTCGCTCCCCAATTTGTTAATGGCAGAGGATCAATTTACCATTACAGGAAAACCTTTCTATCCACCATCATGCAGTCACAACAAGCTTTGCTAGCAGAAGAACTTCAGTGTTAACAGTTGTTTCTAGTTAGCTCTAGGAGCACGGGCAGAAGGCAGAGGAGTGAGATTTTTTTTGTTTTCACAGATTATCTGTCTCGTACCATAATGTCACAATATCACAGTTTTTTAAGTAAAAATATATATATTTTTAATACAAGTTACATGCTGTAAAATTAAGGAACAACAGAAGTGATGTTCTTATAGCAATATAATGAAAGTCGACAAAAGGAGGAGTCACTACGGCATCTTTCAGAAAAAAGTAAACTATAAACGCAAGGGTTCTCAAGAATTTAAAACGAGACAGAAAAAAAAAATCAAAATACCTAAAGTGGCTAACTGACTTTTTAATAATATCTGTAGGTAACTTTTGTTTAGTAAGAGACAAAAGAGGCACATTTTCTTGGAGTTTGTGTGCAAGAAGGACACAGCTTTATCTGTAAATGTTGATTAGAACCAGATAAATTCATTACCTGACAGAATATTCCATAAGAGATTATTTGAATATATATGGATGAATCTAATTTACCATTATATTTTGCACAGTTAAAATATGGCATCTCGGAACAAACACCTTTAGTTACTGTGACAGCAGGGACAGCTGTCACATTGTTACAATACAAGTGATGAGGGGAGCACAATAGGGCTGGTGGCTGACTCACCTTACGTTTAACGTCTGTGAACTGGGACACCATCAGAGACCAATAGAAAGCCAGCTCAGCAACATAGTAATTGTATTGTCCAGGACTTAGAGGCTTTGAGGGGGAAAGAAGCAAACACACCTTTGATAAATAGACAGCTATACTAACGTATAACGTATATGGACTGATGGACTGACTAGAGGGACACTGTGTAAAAAGTGTGCAAAATGTGACGTTTATGCAATTAGCAGTAAAATAAAACTGCTGACCTGAAAAGGGTAGTTGTGCCAACACAGTCTGGTATCCCACATCCAAGGTGACTGGCAATAGGAGCGAGGTTAAATGACAAGGAAGAAAAACAAATCGGGATTATAAAAATCTTCACAGAAAATTAAATTAGGACAAAGCATAGCCAAATGTTTTTTGCAACCAAAAGTAAATACAAATGTAGCATATTCCCAGATCCTTCCTACAGTAAATATTTTCACTTTTGCAATGGTACTTCCTCATATTGTGTTGCACGCAAGCTAAAATAGTTTCATTTTGTCCTTGACTAGTGCACCTTTTACCCACATGTTTACTGCGCTTACTACAAAATTTGTGGTAAAGACTGTCTATACCACATGCACGACTAAAAGCCATTACACACTCCGACAGAACCGAAAAATGTAATCTCTCCACCCGGGCTTTTCTCTGAGTGCTGGTTTGGTGGCATCCAACAACTACTTTCTTATTTGTCACACAGCTGTGGTTAATGCAGAAATCAATATATTTATCAATATTTCTTCAGTTCTGCTCTTAGGTTTCAGGCCCATGAAGTATGAAGGGCCATAAGCAACTTTCCTTTTGGCCCAGAAAGTGGAACAGATTTCTCGGTTCTTGTGTAATATCTGAAGAGCCCAATAATTGTTCTGTTCACTGATTCTTCCACCTGAATTGTGGAAATCTGGAACTCCTACAGACTTATGACAGGTGTTTTAGCTGTGAATTATAATGTTCTCCTTGCCAAGATGTTGGTACAATTAATACATTGACATTTGTGTTAGTGACATGACAAAATGTGAAAAGGTTCAAACTGTATGAATACTTTTGCAACATGTTTGGCATAGCTCAAACATGCTATGCTTGTTTGAGCATAGCATGTTTCCAAAAAACTCCAAAAACTTACCACCCACAAATGGCCAATGGCATAGATAAAAATCACAAAATAAAAGGTGAATCTCCACCTGCAGAGACAAAAATGGAAAAAAAAAAATCAGTGAGAAAATATGTAAAACATCCTACCTTTAGCAGGCTATTACTAGACATTTCCAAAATGAAATTAAAGATACTGATTGGGTTATCATTACACTGTGATTACCACTAAAATATCTCAAATTCTGCCAACTGTTAAAGAATTTGAAATATTTGCATTTGAACCCATCATGTCAGCCTCAGAGAAAAAAAAAACAATTAAAAGTGAGAAAATAACATTATAAAAAGTCTTGCTTCTTCCACCAGTGACTCCAGGTGCCAGCACTATTATTTATGCCGATCTTTAATGAAATTTAAGAAGACAATATTCATAGGCAACCTGTTTCATATTGTTGGAAATGTGGACTTTCCTTATTTCTACTATGGAAACTAAGAGTAACACTCCAAAAAGGTCTGCTGTGAAACAAGTCAAAAAGACTTCATGCCCACTCTAAGCATGTCACTGGATCTGAGATGTTGTGGGATCATTTCTCTCTCAAAAGCCCCAAGCGCCTCTTCATTAAGGATAGGCTGATGGAGTCTCTGTTAGAGCACGGCAATTTGAATCAAAATAATGGTGGCAACTTTAGGAAAACTGAAAATAAGTCATTATTACTGCGTCTTCCAGCTGGGCAGTGATTAAATTTTTTTTTACTTGTGTCAAATAAACACAAAAATGTCAAAGAGCATAAAAGAGGAACCAGTATCTCTGCAGGAATTGCGCAAGGAAGCTTCGTCAAGGAGCCCAATGTATGCCACGACCTTGTGAAATGTTTTAGCAGAAGACAAAAGTGCTGCCTGTTAAGTAGCAGGGGGTTGTACGAAGCAACAACCCTCTGCTGCGTCTCATCATAAAATTTATTCAATGTAAAAAGTGGATTTTCTTCTCCTTTTTTGACAAAGTTCAGTATTTATTTATCATATGCACTGTAGAAACAAGTTTCCTTGTACAACGAAAAGCTTCCTTTGCTGTTACTTTTTTAACATGCCGGTCTGATAAGCAAAACTGGGCCGACAATTAATTAATTGTTTATTTCCATCTTGTTGCAGTTTGTGTTTCGGAAGAGAGAAAGAGGGGGGAGGTTTGGTCTTGTGGCATTTGCTAGGTCATATGACGGTGAGAGTGATGCAGTGTTTAATTCAAGCAGACAAGCAACGCCACCGGTGTGGTCAGTTTTGGCTGTGCCAAAAATGTAGGGAAATTTTACAGCAGCACATTTAAAAAAAAAAAAAAAAAAAAGAATATTGCATAAAAGTGCAATTAATCTTGCCAGTCATGACAGAAAGAGAAATTGCCATTTTTCTTAAGAGATTTGTTACACAAAGAGTAAAATATTGTGTGTGATGATTCTATATAAACTAAGTTTCTGAGAAAATGCTTTATATTTCTGAGCCGTCAACTCTGCGGTCCTTCTTGCCACTTACATGCTCTCACAGAACTTCTTCTGTATGCTGGGCTTGTCCTGGTTCCGGCGGATACGGAACCATCTCTGTATTTTCCTCTCCTCCCAGTCCAGCTGCTTGGACAGTCCCTCCAGTTGTCTCATGTCTGGACACTAAGGAGGACAGTATTAGTGGGACTTTACCTCCAAAGTACTGTATCTGCTTGTGAAACCACAATGGTATATTATACCACAATAGGTATTTACTGAGCATATCATTAGGCCTGTGGTGGTGTGTACTGCAGCAGTAACACTGTGCTGCAGAGTTTACAGAGGCTACAGAACAAACATAACCCTTATGTACCGCGTTGGACTGATAGAGCCTCTCCAGGACAGCGTTGGGCTGAACTCGCCGGGGCGCTCCCGCCTGAATCTGAAGTATGTGGGCACAGGGTCTGGCCACCAGCCTGTGTACACACAGACAGAGGGGCAAAAACCAGAGGGTGGGGACACACACACACACACACACACATTTGGTATTAAAGAGACATTCAACCAGAGAGAGACATTTGATGCCATGGTAATTTACATTACAGTTTGCCCATAATGACACGCTAGATAGGAATGACTGCGTCTGTCAACGACAGAGAGCAGAATAAAGGCTATAAAAAGGGAGACACAGGGGCGTGCTAAAAAGCCTGCAGAATGTCGCACCTCGCAGTCTGAGCAGAGTGTGTCGGTCTATCATGTGAGAATGGGAAACTAGTTTGGGAGGGACGAATGCGGCCAAAACGCTAACGCGTGTCACAGGATCATCTGGTTGAGCTGGCCATTGCTCTGGATCAAACTCAGAGACATCATGACATGTCAGCGTGGCAACGGCCTGCTATTCTGGAATAGCAGGCTGCTTTCAAAAGAGGTGACTGAGTGAGGCTTTTACAGCTGTACATGGTTTCAAATTGACCATCAAATGACGCAAATTGTAGCTAATTGCCTTTTGTGCCAAATGGTATTCTGCCTCCAGTTTTGTGATCTTACATAAATGTTGTTTTAAATGTGTTCATCCAGCCAGAGCTAGCCAGAGGCGTCTATGAATCATGCAGCTGATTTGCAACATTCCTGGATGTTCCAATAAAACTTAAATTTACACGGAACAGGCTCACAAAATTACTTCTGGGACGGAACTAAACCGGCTGCCAAATGCTTTCTGTATTGCATACTTAAAAATAAATAAATAAATAAATAAATAAACATCCTGTGATGCTAAACATAAAAAAATGGAACATTTCTTGTGGAAGAATCAAGCCCTGCCATATCTTTAAGTGCTTTTGATGCAGGCTTGGTTTGAATAGTGTTTTGAGATCAAGGCTTAGGTATCCGCAGTGATCTGAGAATACAGTTCAGAACATGTTACATTTTACTTTTTGCTCCGAATTTAGCATCAGACAGAGCGTTTATAGTAAATTTAAGCAATGTTCAAATTTGATAGTTGCTGTAATTTATACGCAGCATCTGTGAAAATGTGCAGCATGGATGAAAGGTCTGAACACTGTGACGCTGCAGCTGCTCCAGATTTTCATAAGAAATCCATGGCAGCACTGGGGATTAAATTTTGCACACTACAGAGTTATGTTTATGTACAAAGGTGATGCAAATTAAGGCAGCACACTTCTCCATGCCACTGAAATCCAGTATTAGAATTCAACACTGTTGATACACAATCAAAAATTCCACTCAGATCAATCCGGTTGCCAAAAAAATAGATTCAAATTCAAAATCCATACCATACAAGTCAGTTGATTGTAATTACAATACAGCATGAAGTGAGGTTAACTTGGCAGAAAGTTTGTCATTTTAATGTTTCTGTTAAAACAGAAACATGTTTTAAAGCTGCTCACTTCTCAACAAGTAATGGCCGTTTGGCTGGAGCTACTTCTAATCAAAAATATGATGAACATTTCCTGAATCAAACTGCAATGTCTTATCTGGACGGGGGTCCGAAAATGGACTGCATTTCAAACTTCTCCGAACCTCTGGCCGTCTGTTTTCGGCAGAGCAATGTCTCAGCAACATCTGAGCCCAGCGAAATGTTTTTTTGTTTCATCATCTCGCAGGAATGCTAATGTCGAAAAGGATGTTCACCATTTCCTCAGTTGTTCAGCTGAGCTTTTCCGTCAAAAACAACTCCAGCAACTCATCCGAAATGGAGAAGAAGACATGCCCACGAAGGGCTTTATTGCCCCCCACCAATGTTCAGAAAAAACGACCGGAGCTCACGTTCTTGAAAGCAGCAACTTTTTTTTTTTTTTTTTTTTTTTTTTTGCGGCTTCAGTTTCCATTTTGTTTTATTTTAGTCCGCATGAATCACAGTTTCTAAGCAAAGCGCTCCCCTACCCGCGGGGCTTTAGCATAATGGTAGCGGAGGAAGAAAAGAAAAAGTGCAACTTCAAAAAAAAAAAAAAAAAAAAACTAACAGCGGCGCTCACCTTTCAAAAAGCAGCCTAAGCAGTAAAACTCCGATAGCCAGGGGAAAGGCATGGCAGAGCATATGCTGCAGTCTGGGGTACTCCACTCCAGCTGGCGGCCGCTCCAGGTCAGCCCACGACACATTTTCAGGAAGCCAGAATCTCTCACTCCAAATCCAGGCTGAGACGAAGGAAGTCATCGGGGAGCAGGGAACGGTAAAGCCGAAAGTACACCAAGTTGCCGGGGAAGTTTTGTGTCCTGGGCGCAGCGCGGGGCTTTAAGCATCCCTCCTTCAGCTCAAACTCTTAAAGAGGAAACTTGAACGCAGAACTCCTCCGCTAGCCTGACAGGCTACACCCACCACTGTTCACATGTTGGAGGTAAGATCCCGGGGCTGAACCCGGGCTGACAGCAGCAGCGGCCAAACCAGCTTTAATTACAGCCCCCGGCCTCTTATCTCAGGCTAAATCAACTGCTACAGCCAATTAACATAAGCAGCGTCATGTTTTGAGTCGTGAGCAAACCCCACACTGTGTGACACTCACAACAACCATTAATTATTTTAAAAAGTATTTTTCAGCCTGTTACTGAAGTTGTGTATGAAGTTGAGGTCGCACAACCAGACTCATTTCTTTTTTTTGTTGTTTGTTAATTCATTTATGCTACCGTTTCCAAAACTGATTGAAAAGTATGAAATAATAAAAAGGTATGAAATAATAAAAAAATATGACAAATTAAATTAGAAAAACAACCTAATCCGAAAAAGCCACATGATAAGGATTAAGTAAAATGTGTGTATTTACTGATTTCTTATGTGATTTTGTATGTGTTTTTATTGAAAATTATGGTCAAGAAAAGAGTTAAAGACATTATGTGAGTGATCTGGCACTCAGCAAGTTCAAAAACTGGTTAAGATCTTGTTATGTAGGATGACTCCCAGCTTTTGAAATTTGTTGTGGTATTTGTAGTCCTACATTCAAAATGTTAAGTGTGTGTGTGGACTTTGATTGTTTCTTTAAACACTTTATACCCACAGTCAGAAATGGTGGTTGCAGTATCAAGTTGTTGAGACAGATGGAGCTAAATATTCAGAAGTCCTGGAAGAAAACCAAAGACTTTCACTTTCCACAAACTGGACAATAACCCTAAATATACAACTAGTTCCTGTGGAATAAAAGCATATTTATGTAAGGAATGGCCAAGTCAAACTCCAGACCTAAATACAATTAATAATCTGTGGCAAGACAACGATGCTTACAGAAGTGCTAGGTTCTCAAAGAGTTGTATTTGTAACAGCAACAAAATGAATTTCTCCACAGGTAGGTGAGGCAACTGGGTTTTTGCATCAATCTGTCAGACCCCCACCCTCCAAAAAAACAACAACAAAAGTTTGTGACTGTAATGTGGAAAAACATAAACAAGTTTAAATGTTATAAATACTTTTGAAAAGTACTGTTTGTTACTCTCTAATCCAGCTCTGCACAGATGATATGTGGATCTTTCACAAACACAGAAGTACTGTAGCTGTTCTGTTGGTACGCAGGATAAAGCAACACAGGAGGAGGATGCTGCACATTCATCACACACAGTCCTGCAGTGGCAGTCGCTACTCCGTGTCATCCTGTAGGTTTATACTTCAGTACCAACCAGCTTTAGAGCTGCTCCGGAGCCTGAACAAAACCTCTCTGTGTCAGTGTGCAGCTGCAGCTTCCGAGATGTCCTATACAGATCTGTGACCCAGGAGCTTTGGACTTGCATATAAAGGGGGGAAATCCTGTGTTTCAGGATTAGCATTTTACTTGAACAGAAGCACAGGAGGATGATACCACTTGGTGTATTTATTTTAATCCTCCTCGTTCTAATTCCTCGGTAGTTTGAGTCCAGATTCAGCAGGGAGGTTTGGTTTAACGTATGTCGTCACATCAGAGTCAACCCCTTTTTTCTGCTTGGACTGCTCCAGTTCACGTCTGAAAAAATCTGTTAGTTGCTGAAGAGTTCTTCATGTCAGGGACTGCTGTAGCCTCGGCACACAGAGCGCTGTAGCTCCTGGATCACCTAAGGTAATATTATTCAAAGCTTTTTACTTCTTAATCTGTATGTATTATGTCCTCTGGTCATTTAGGGACATTTTAAGCTGTTGTTTCTTTTAAAAACAACCACCGTCATCATAGATGAGCGTGCACTTTTTTTTTTTTTTGCTTTCTTTTTTTAAAGAAATCTCCAGCATTATCAAGAGGAGTTATTTGTTTTGTCAACATTGCTGCTTGATTTGAATTTATATTCTCATTTTTATTCCTGTTTTTCATCAGATAAGCAAATGGATCAGAAAGAGCTGAGTGATCCACTCAACAGCGTTTCACTGATTAAAGGTAATTCGCCTCTGCTATTATTTATTTCAACGAGCATGGATGTACATGATTAAGCTGAATGAGATGGCAGTATCTTTCTCATGTCACAACGCACCTTGCTAAAAATAACACTAATGTGGCATGAGTAAGATCAGAGTTTGGAGCTATGACTTGGATTTAGAGCGTATGGCGGTAGATGGCCTTATTTTAGAGAATGACCTCTTATTCCAACATATTAGAGAATGAATCTATTGCAGCCTGCAGGTAAGGCAATGATGGGCCAACAACAAGACATCTTGAAACAAATAAGGAGATTCATGTCAGACTGTCCAAGCATATCAATTTTGCATGACAGATGAATTTGTAATGCTACACTGCACATTATAGAGACAGAGGGAGAGAGAGCACAAGGGAAACAGTGTTCTCTGTCACTTCAGAGAGACACCTTCAGACAGAACATTTTAGAGCTGTAATTGAATATCACTGCTGGCAGGTTGATCAGCACTTTTCAAGAGAATAATGTGGACATTCAGAGCACCTCTGATTCAGTTTGCCACATCAGCCTCTCAGAAGGCAACAGACGTCAGGAAAACACGGGCTGCGATGGCTCTGGCCTTCAGCAGTTGGGCTAAAAAAAGACTTTCTCCTTCATTTTGTTTTCTGTCGTCACTCGAGGCAGCATGATGCTCGCCATCCCCCCCTGAAGTCAACCGGGTATTTTTACTCACAGACTAATCTATATCTGCTTTGTCAGGTGTCATTCTGTGACATTAAAAGACATTAGTGCTAATGTTTCTAAAGATAACGTGTTGCACTCTCGTGTGCAATATCCTCCTTGTGTCTTTCAAATGAAGCGAACACAAACAGTGGACTTACAGGACAGGGAACCCACTCACATTCTGCTTCTCGCTCATACATATGCAAACATGCCCTCTCTTCCTTTGTCTGGCACGCAGCTGGGTGGTCATGTGCTTTCGTCAAAGGATGTCACCAGCTCCTAGCCATTGTTTCACACTTGTCCAGTTTAGAGACATCGATGAACAACTGTAACTTGTCATGGCACTTCAAGTCCTTCCATCCATTTATGGTGCACAAGCTCGACCTGCCGATCCTCTTTGTTTTGGTTCCCGACCAAATGCCCGGCGCTGGATTAGGTCATCTCTTTTCTTAGCTGTGGCAGATTAAGGGAATTTGCAAAGCTGAAATATTTGTGGAGTTTGTTTCCACCCCTCCCAGGAGACACAACAGACCCTTGACAACGTTGGCAGGTCCATTTCCTTTGTGCATTGTTTGTAGGTTGGTTCTAATAATAAAAAATGTCAATGTGCCAGAGAGTGGTACGATGCTGGGGTGATGGACAATTTGGTTTAGAAGCTTGGACAGAAAATACAGATCGCTACAGTTGTGCCTATTTCTGGATGGGTAATTAGTTTATGTAACAGGCCTATTTCAATATCTTGGGAAATCATCTACCAGCCCTGGTTAACTATTTGGGCCTGCAGCTGAATTAACGTAGTGAGATCTTCAGCTCTTGTAGTTTTATGGAAACTCATTTCTCATCACGAAATTTGATCTCGATCTTAAACATCATGAAGATTTGATGATTGATTTTAACTGTTCACTGCAATAAAAAAATGACAGAGACCCGCAAGGTTTGACATTATACATACAAGTTCACTATTATCGGTTTAAATATGCCATAGCATAGTGGACCCTGAAACCACAGGATATTTGTTACCATGAGTAACTTCTTTCATAATTAGGCCAGGTTTGAACCATTACTCTAGGGAAAGTCGGTAGAGTTATTTAAAATTAATTTGCCTCTGGCAAAGACATTTTTATAAGAGTGGGTTGTCCACAGTGTTGAGGTTAGAAGCGTTGAAGATTCTTGCCCTGGGAACAACTGCTAGTTCAAGTACTCAGTGCCTGAACCAAACTGCCTCCCTGAGCTTATAGCGTTCAGCAACAAGTCAGCAACCACAAGCTTCATCCAGTTTCAGCCAGTTTTAATCAACATAGACTTAGAGGGTTGTGACCAAGGAAGAAGTTAATTGTCCAAAGTTGACGACTTCAAGTTTGACTGAAATCGCTGTTACAATGTTCACCATGTAATAAAAACACTGAAGCTGGAAGGATGAAGAAAGTGAAATTTGGATGACCTGGTCACCCAGCTGTGCCAGTTCTGTGCCAAGAAAACACATAGTCCAAATGCAACTTGCTAAGGGAAATTAAACCATAATAAACAGCATTTGTTATGGTTGACTTGATTTGGGAAGTCAAGTTTAATTCTATAGCACATTTCAGCAACTAGGTAATTCAAAGTGCTTTAAACTATAATACAGTAACATAATACAGTGACTAATTATGAAACCAACTATAAACATTACGCTTTGTCAAATGCCATCATCAAAATTTTCAAGCACATGTGCATTAAATATATTGATCGATTTTTCCAGTTATTACGAATCAAAAGCATCTCTAAGCAGGCGGATTCTGATCCTTGATTTAAGGGAACTCAGTGTTTTCTAAGAAAGCACAGTTCAAAACTGATCAGTTTCAAATTTAACATGACGTTCATGCTGATAAGTGTTTGTAAGTCTGCAGTAGTCTTCATCCTCCATATGAGGCTCTTTAACCTGCTCAGTTGAGATTTTCTAACATTGTTTTTTCATTGTCAGATGATCTGACCAAGTCCAACATGGGTTCTTCCGGCGAATCTGAAAAAATGATTCAGCGCTTGAATGATGAACTTCGAGAGGCCCGGGAGATTGCCAACACAGAGAAGCAGAAATGCATGGAGCTACAAGGTAATATGTAATGGCTAAGATGCTGCATACTGTACATTTGAGCCATTTAGATTCTCAGTGCTTTCATGCTTACAGATATAGCAAGCTCCAAATATACGTTTGTATTTTAAAGGTGTTCTGGAAGAAGAGAGGAAAGGACATAAACAACAAGCTGAGCAATCTTCCAAACAAATTAAACATCTCCAAGGTATTTTTTAAATTTATTTATAGACTAGAAATCCTTTCTTTCTTCGAGGAGTCTTTAAAAGGCACCTCTTCTTATCTAAACACTGGTCTGGGTTTGGACAGGCCAGCTGCAGCAGCTCCAGGATGAGGTGGGTGTTCTCAGGGAGCAGATCAACGTCTCCTCCGGTTCTCATGACGAGCTGCAAAGAGCACAAGATGAGATGAAGTCACTGAAACGGGCCCTGGAGGCGGCCTCTGCAGAGCGCGACCGTGATGTCACTGCCGTCCAGTCGAACCTGGCAACTGCTTCCAAGGACCTGGACAAGTGGCGTCAGACTGCCAGCAAATACGAGCGTGAGATCGAGGACCTGCGACGTGATCTGGACCAGCAAAGCAAGCAGTGGCAGAAAACAGCAGAAATACAAGGTAGAAAAGGCGCAAATACACAACTCGAAACCAAATCAACCATTGTTTTGTGCACTTACAAAAATGCACCTTTCTGACTGAGTGGTTTGGAATATGAGTTCTGTTGCATTAAGAATAAATTTGTATAGTTGAGATGCTCTCCAAACTGCTCAAACTTGGATTACATATGTTTGTTTTAATAAATTAGAATATCACAAAAAACATCATTTATTTCAGCAATTAAATTCAAGCTGTGAAACGTTTCAATAAATATAAAGATTAATAACACACAGAGTGTCAAAAACAGACAGCTGCCATGTTTTTGAGTTAAAAAATGTTTAAGTTGACAGAAAATTTGATAGCACTTGATAGCTTTGCGTTATTGGAAGACTGAAAATATTAATACCTAAACACCTTCTATAAAGTCTTAAAAAAGGCAATGATTAAAAAAACCTAAAATAAATAAACAATGGTGGGGGCACAAGTAAAGCCTGGTGGCCTGCCAGGCTTACAATGCACTGTAGGAACCTCTGTACTTGTATTGTGATGTGTATGAGTTTCACATTTTAAATTAAGTTGCTGAAAGAAATTAACTTTTTGATTAATTTCCCCAACCTATTGAAACCATGCTTTTGAATATTGCATGCAAACTGAAAGCAAACCATCTGCTCCGAGACTGCACAATTACATAAACCTATTTCTCGTTGCAGCCAATGAGCTGCAGTCTATGCAGTTAGAGTGTAACGGTCTGCAGAAAGAGTGCTCCGTCCTGCGATCTGACAAACAGGACATGGTGAATAAGCATCAGAAAGAAAAGAACAGTCTGCAAAGTGAGTGTGCCTCTCTGAGGGCAGAGAAGGAGGAAATCTTTAAGGCTCACCAGAAAGAAAAGGCCAGTGTGCAGAGCCAATGTGCAGCACTGCGCAGTGAAAAAGAGGCGTTGCTGCAGAAACAGCAGCAGCTGGAGCAGGACCTCATCAGGTCAGTACACTGATACATAAGGTTTAGCTGTACTACCTCAAATGTGACCTATTTTCTATAATAAACTAAGCACCGTTTTCCTCCAAATTTTGTTGCTTTTTTTTTTCTCGGTTTTTGCTAGTTTGCGTGGCCAGAATACTGACCTGAGTAGCAAACTCAAAGTCCTGGGAGAATCCCAACAGGAGTTGGAGAAGAACCTGGTGGCAGTACAACTTCAACACCAGCAGGATAACTCCAAGCTGCAAACCCAGCTGGATGAGGCAAAAAGCCGCACCAAGGCTCTGCAGAAAGAGGTACATTCATGCCAAAGTCTCAAGGTTTCTACATCAGTGTTAACATTTGAATCATATGATGCATTTTATTCATTTTGATCTCAGGAAATAGAAAATCTAATAAAATCTGGAACTTTGGTCATTATAGTTTTGTGACATTTGCAGTGTGCAGTACTGCAGCTGCATGTGATGTGCTGCTGACCACTCTGCCTTACAGCCACAATGTTGACAGGGTCTTTAACTATTCATGACATTTCCTTCGTTCCCTCTCAACACGCAGGAGAGGTTTACTTATTGATGCAAGTGAATTGTCAGCATAAAAGTCACCCAAGACTACATTTCTGTCTTTTTGCACAGGAGCAATAATGATACTTAGAAGAAATGTTTTTAAAAAATCAAATAATATTTTGTCTGAAAAACAGAAGAAACAAGGGTAGAACACTTGCAGTTGATTCAATTTAAACATGATCAAGTCGATTACTTCTTTGTTTTCCTAGTGAAAAGCAGCAAAAAAACAACAACCACAAAGTCTACCTACAATCTTTAACCATAATTACAAGTTATTTGAAACAACTTAGCGGTTGTTTTATATTGACACCAAAACACTAAACCCCCGATTCAATACTTCCTGGAAACACTGTTGATGCAATTACATCTGCCGTCTTTTCTTCCACCGGGTTTTATGTGGCTTTTTCTCAACAACCCTTTCTTCTCATCATTCATCCAAAAAAGACATGTTTGGACTGGAGTAGACAAGATGATGAGGATCTATGAAATGTTCAAAACTTAGGTTTTATAACCTGACTATTACTATGCTTGAAACTTTCCAACAGCTGAGCATCATACTGGTTGGATTTATACCAAGATCGAATCACGAAACAAACAGACTAATTAAGGGGTGTTTTAAAGGTAATTAGTTACACTCTATTATGAGAGTGAAGAGGCTCAATACAAATGCTTCCATAAACTGCATTCTTTTGCTTCCACTTCAGAATTATGTGTTGCTTTAACTCAGTGTAACACCCGTCTTTGGAAATTATATTGAAGTTTATGGTTGTAACGTGTTAAATATGGAATAGCTTAGAAATTTTGGGAGTTTTAACCGTTCCTCCTAAACCCCTAAAATATGTAAATATAAATATCGGTTTAGAAATACTGCAGATTGCCTTTTTGTGGGATCCCTGCTGTATAACCCCAGTCAGAATCAGCTAGCAAACAGACAGGAGCGGCATTGTAGCCCAGAAGAAAACAAAGATGAAGTCATCTCTAACCTCCACTCTTTCAGTCACTGAATGAAAAAAAGGAAACGGAGGGCCTCCTTTTGCTCCTTTTGCATCAGATACTCTCAGCTTGCACTGAATAGCTGAACATAAAGTAGATTCAGCAGTAGGTTCAATTGCGAGAAGTGGACAAAACTTGTGAAGAGGATGGATTTATTCCATCAACAGAGACCCAGAAGAAAATAGTTTTTTATAGTTTTTTTTATTTTGTCTTTTACTTGTTTTGTGCAGTATGAGGAGGCTCAAATGGAGCTGTCTGACCTAAAAGAAAGATGTGAGAAGACTGAGCAGGAGAAACAGACGCTGACAGACCAACTGGAGGAATTCAAAGCTGGCATGAAGGATTTACAGGAGAAAGGGTCAAATGTAAGTACCGACCCCTGTCATCGTCATTCTCTCTATATGTAACTGACAATTCATTAATGTAATAGACACGTTTAAATAACAATCCGTAACTGAGTTTAGAAATTATTTAACACATCTTTTGTGAAGTTGGTTTTCTGTAGACGAGCTCTGCTTTAACTTTGCTGCAACATTATATTGACCGTGTCCAATTTAGTTTAATTTTCAGACATAAAATGTGAATCATTTTTATGATTCACAAATTGTTTTTTTTTTTGTTTCAGCAGTTATGTTCCCTTCCACCCATACAAGGATTATTTATACATTTAGGTGTAATAACCTGCAGAGTTTCTGAAAAGTTTGGGATTTAGGGGGATATCCTGAGCCTGGAGACAACTAGCACCAGTATATTCTGAATTAAATCCTGATATGATGCTATATATTGCCACCTAAGAAAGCATCTTAAGAATGTTTAAGTTTGGATAAATGTTCATGTTAAGGAAAACTCCTTTGCAGTGTTAAGGACAGCCAGGATAGGGGAAAAAACAAATGAACAGCAAACAGGAAAAATTGACCCAAATACCAATCAGCCATTTGAAGACAATCCTTGGATTGTGCTGTCAACTGTACTTCATGTGTCTGTGTGAGGAATGCTGAACACTGGCACCTTCTTATCACCCAAACAACTGTGAAAACCACCAGTTAAAGGCAGGGTGATTGAGTGACACATTTTCAAAGAAAGCTAAACACCCACAGACGTCTGTCCCATTGCAGTTGATTACTATAATATCCCTTCCCTTCTGTAGACGCCACTTTTGCTGCCTGTTCAAGCCATAGTCATCGGCCTTATCCTGGCTTTGCTGTTTTGGTGCTTCGGCGCAATGTGGTAGCAAGGTACACATTACTCCTGCCGAGCCGGCCTACATCTGTCATCTTCATCGGTGCAGTTTCAATCATTGCATGAATTAATTGGGGTTTTCCTGCTTTCCCAGAACGCCCTCCATGGGGGAAAACTGTCGTCTAAGAAATCTTAACCTCTAATCATGCAGCTTTCAACATCTGACATCTGTTTGTTCTGTCTGAATGGCTAACGCTTAACAACTGTTTCTCCCAGTTGGCTGTGATGACGCTAATATTTATCCTAAGGAGCTTGTCCTTAATTTGCTACTTCCATCAGCCGTGTTTCGTGTTGATCTCAGTCGCAAACTCCCTCTGTGTGAACGTCGGTGGTCCTCTGACAGAAGGTGTCATTTGGTCGTGTTCAGTTTTTTTTTTTTTTTTTCTGTGTTGCTGCTCCCTGCAGAAGCCGTGGATGATCTGGGGGCCAGTGGTTGCTGTGGCTCTTACAGCTGTGACGGCCGCGGTGCTCTTCAGGACCTGAGGGCAAACTACCCAAACAAAAACACGTAGAGGTTTATCCTTATTTGATTTGTTCAAAACTTGCCCCCTTTACATATCTGTACCAGTAATAAGGTGGGCTCATATTTAACAGTTTTTCTTGCTAAGATGCTCTATTTTAGATGGCAGAGATGTTTCTAAAAGAATGTGAGTTTTTATGCGTGTCATGATGGGAATTTAGTTGGACCGTGTCAAGTTTACTATTTTGACTCATAGGATTATCTGTTAATGAATGTAAAACTTAAACCATGCTTATCTAATTCTACTTAGGTGTCTTTAATTATATTTAAGGTCAATCACTTTGAGTTTCTCTGCTCATAGCACAGTTTTTGTTCTTAGAATAATAAAGTTGTCACAATAACATCCCTTAATGGAGTGCACACTGAAGGAAACTTTGAACGGTATGTTGGTTGATGGTGTTGGATGTGTTTGCAGAACCAGAGGCAGAGTTTAGACAAACCATATTTGGTTAAAAAAAATGTTTTTGTTTCAGAGCCCATCATTAAACACGACTGCAGCAACTTGAGTTTTGAGTCTTTTTTTTCCCTTTGGCTCAGTTTCTTTCCTGCAAATGTTTTGTCGTGTATTCTGTTCTGCTTTCCATTTAAGGATTGTGAACAGAAATCAAGTTTAGCCCCAATTAGGAAAAACTGAATTGTGCTGTTAATTAATCTCTTTATAAAATGACCAGTGCAGACTGATTTCTGTGTAAAATGAATCTGTACGTCATTATAGATTTTAAACGTATAGCTGTGCACATTTGCAAAAAAAAATAATAATTAGAAATAAAATAAAAACAGACTTCTGTTGTTAATTTTGGGGGGTTGATTATTTTCTGATTAGTGTAGAAATAAAAGTTAGTTTTATGCAATAAAAATGTAAAATGGCACACTACTTTTTCCAAAATACTATGTTACATATCTGTCCCTGCCTCTTATGGTATTGAAATATGAAAATAGAAGCAAAACACTGAGTTAAGACAAATGCATTCTACTGATGTGCCTCAGTCATCTGAAAAGCTACCATAGTGTGTTATTGGAAAGCAAACTTTTTGGCAGTCGGCTGCCTGCACTTCAGACTTTAAAAGGCTTTAAAAGAATTTTTTCCAGGATTATTTAGCTCCTTTCATCTCCACGTGAACTCTGATAATCTTTCCAGTATTTGTTAATCCCCGCAGCATAATGCTGCCACTACCATGTTTCAAATTGGGGATAGTTTGTTCAGCTATGCAGTTTTCAGCTACACAGAATGTTGCCCATCGGGGTTAAATTTGTGGATTTACTGGTAAGTGTTTGTCATGTAGACAGATTGGCCTACTTGCACTGTGGATTTTCAAAGTTACTATGGATTTCTTGCATGCTTCTCTGATTGATGCTCACATGGACAGCCAGGTCTTAATAGTTTTGCTGCTCTGACACACTGTTTCCATTTTTGATGAAGAATCATGCTTCATAATATGTTCAGAAATATGGATTGTATTTTATAACTCTGTCCTCCTTTAAATTCCTCACAACTTTCACCTGACCAGTTCCTTGGTCTTTGTAACACTCTTCGTTCTCTTAAGTTCTTAAATAAGGCCTTTAAATAAAAGGATGGATGCGATCTGTTTATTGATGCTCATCTTAAAGTCACATTTAAATAAAAGATTTCTTTGGTCATTGGCTAAAATGACCAAAGAAGTAGTTTAAATAAATTACTTCTTTGGTCATTTCAGTTAATGACCAAAGAAGTCCAGCATCCATTGAGTGTCTATTTTTAATTAGGCATTATATCCCTTTCTTAATTCACTACCAATTAGCACACTCTCTTACACCATTGTTTCCTTTCACTAATAAGCAGCATTCACAGTTACAACTTTGGTAAAAACCTTTTCTAGTGTTAAATGTCAAAGGTTAGCATTTCTAGATGCACAATAAAGCATCTTAAGTACTGCAGACTTTACACTAGTGTTTAATAATGTGTTAATAAGTCTTATTACAGTTCCATAGTGCAAATGAATTGTCTATGGAGCCCGATAAGTAAATCTGAACAGAACAGTACTCTGAAACTTTCACCCAAAGCAAATTCATCTCAGAATCTTCAAGTGTTCAGGCTATGTGAATTCCTGCCTTTCATGGAAGTGGATGAATCGCTGGTTTATCTCTTTAAGGGAGTTAGGGTGTGGCACAAGAATATTTTGATCATCTGACTTTGTGTTGGACAGATGTAAAAGTCTCCCCTCCCTCTTCTTTTATTTCTAGCTGTGTGGTTAATCTTCCGGCAAATGTTACTGGTCATTCCTGATGACTAACATTCCCAGTCTATCCACTAATCCAGCCTTGGCAGAGCTGACCTTTCTGTCAACAGCTTATGACCAGTCAGAGCTGTCCCTCCCTTCAGGCAGGCAGTTTGACCCTTTGCCTTTTCCTGTGTGAGGGAGGACACGGCATATTTCCCAACATTATGTTGGCTAATTGGACGTTTTGCTTGCGATGGCCCTGACATTTCTGTTCATTTGGCTTTCTGTTGTATCCTGAAAGGCACAAATCCCTCAGGATACAACATGACAAGCAACACAATGTGTTTATGAGAATACAGACACAACAGTGGATGCAACTCGTAGATTTAGGCCAGCACCCTTTGTCCCATATAGACCAAAATATAAGAAGCGTTCCTGCTCAAAGTGAGCCCCTCTGCACAGTTAACATGTCCATTTCTTCTGCTCTACTTTGTATGTAGGTCATCTGCAGTGGAGGAGAGATGCAGCAGAGTGACAGTTCTGCACTGCATTCAGTAGGTTTTAGCAATGCAGTCATTTACTGCTTTGCATTTCTGCCCCCTCTTATCAGCCACAGCAATTAAAATAATCTCTGAAATAGCAGAATAACAACAAAACATAGATTCTTGTGTTTTGAAATGTAATTCAGGGATTTTAATGAGAAGAGACAATATTCTAAATTTTATAAATCTCATCCTGAGGGTTACCATAAAAAAACTTGTGGAAGGTTTAAAATATATGTTTCAATGAATATTTAGAAAATGTGATAATTCATATGTGTTGACATTAAAATGACTAAAAAGGGTTTTACCAATTCTTTCTGGAAAATCAAGTTGATTGAACTAAATGTTTCTATGTTTGTTTTTCTGACTTCTGCATTTTATTTAAAGAGCGCCATTTTAGTTCTGAAAGAACATATTTTATTGTATATGTAAATGGCTCATCAAGATTGGGTGAACATACATTTTAGTGTACATTTTCTATTTTTTTCTGTTGCAACCACACCATTATTAGATTCTATAGTGAACTTGCCACTCACAACATGGCGGATGCGATGACGAACAGTTTCTACTGATCCGGCTTCTTCTGCTGAGTCATCAGCTTCAGCAGCAGTTTGTTGTTCTTTTCCCTTCAAAGAAACCCTTCATGTCATATCGACACAGTCTGTTGGAAAATCTGAAATAAAGTCAACAGAAGCATCAAATGTCTGCCAAAGCTCCTCTCAGATGATGAACCACCCGAAGCAGAAGAACTGCAGCATCATCTTCAGTGCCTGTCTGTGCAAGTAGCCATCAAACTGCAGATACACAGGGCCACGTTTCAGTCTGCCTCCATCATGACACCCAGTGGTAAATATTGGACTTCAGAATGAATTACTGAACTGATTTTAAAAAAACTGCTTGAGCTATGTTTCTCAGGTCAAAAAATAATTTGTGCATTATTTTTTAAATGCACAAATTAGTTGTTATTTTTTCTTTTAATAAAAACTATGACTTACGAAATTCTATCCACACTGTTATGTAGCATCAGGCTAATTATAATATAATGTCATCCAGCTTTCCTTTGCAGATTAAATTGTTTAGTAAAAATAACTCATATTCATAATGGCAACACATTTTCCTGTTGGACGTTTTCTTTAAGTGCACGATGTAATTGGTAAAACATAATGCTAACATGTGTTAGGTTCTGAAAACTAAGTCAGTTGGATTCATTTATTTAATTTAGGTTATACTGTACTGTATTTACATTGCTTTTTGCTTTCTTATCAATGGAAATGTGATTTTACACATCCCATATGAATATATTTTGACTGATATCCATAAAAATAAAGTACAAGACTCCTTTGAAAAACCTTTAATGCTTTTCAAAGGAGTGTTGTACTCGTTTGAGTCTGTGGTCAGACAGAGGCAAACTGGAGGCGGTGCTTTCACTTTAAAGAATTGACCGAATCATGTTGTGGCCCTGTTTCCCCTAATGATGAGTGATAATCAATGAGTTTCACCAGAGCAAACATAATTTGACAAAGCTAACAGCATGCTGCTCTGTGACATTTTATTTGAAACTCCAATCACAGACGTTGTAGACCAAAGACAGCAGTAGGACCGAAACAGTTTTTCGATGTGCTTTCATGTGACAGAGGAAAAAGAGCAAGAAATTTCATGAAAAGTAAGTCTGTCGCCTTTTGGGAAGTGCATGATACAGAATAGACCGTTTCGTCTGTCTTTATTAAACATGGTCCCTTTCCGTCAGTTTTCTGGATTTTCAGGGCAGCCATGGCAGCTGAACTGGATGTCGTGAACCTGTTCTTCATTGCTGGGGCAACACTGGCTATTCCCATCCTGGCTTTTGTGGCTTCCTTCCTTCTTTGGCCATCTGCACTCATTAAAGTGTATTACTGGTAAAGCAGCTTGCTGTGCATGATGATATAACATCAGTAACACTGAATTTAATTCCCCTTTGGGAACAATAAAGTTTCTGAACTGAATTGAATAATGGGCACCACTGTTGTTAATGTCTCACTTACCCATCCTTTAGTTTAATTTTTAATTACATTATTGGCATATTACTCTATTCCAGTGAAAGCATCTGAGAACTTTACAAACTACATTACATTGTCATTAAAAATCTGATAGGCCTTTGTAATTGATAGTCCAGATGCAGCATGTGAACAGGGAGCAAAGTGTGTATTAAATATGCGAGGAGACGTTTCACTGATGTATCACTGAATGTCTCGTTATCTTTATGAAACAGGTTGTTCACTACATTAGAACTGTCCAGGATCATAGATAAGATCAATTTCAAGACCTTCTCTGAGATAAGTCTTAGCCAACTGTTAAATGAGGGGAATAATTCTACTCTGACAGTAAACTGTGAATTGAGGAGCCACGAATAAAAACAGCATGTAAAGACAACACTGCAAGATGATGTTTATGAGAAGAAAACACCACAAAGGACCAGTGGTGGTTCTTGTATGATTAGTGTCCTGGAAATGCAGAAATGTATCTACATTTTAGGAGAAGATAAAATTCAATGCAGTCCCTCACATAGCATGCAAAGTCCCTATTCTCAGTTGCACCTGTCATACTGCTGCATACACGAAAATGTTTGCCCACTCAAACGTCTGAATTTTTTTTTAGAATCTGAAAAGACATGAACTCACTGATGATAAAAATGTGTAAGTAAAAAGTAAAGATTTTGCCAACTCCTGTCACTGTTAGAAGATCTCCTGATCTGAGTTTCTCTTCTAAAATTCTGTCATTATAAAAAGGTAAAACTGTAAACAGTGGGTAGCAGTGTTTGCAAAGAGCTCCAAGTAATATAACTATCCAATATTTGTGCTTGTGTTAAGGTACTGGAGAAGGACTTTGGGCCTGCAGGTTCGCTATGCCGACTGTGGAGATTATCGCTTCTGCTATTCCTACAGAGGAAAACCTGGGATGAGACCCTCCATCCTGATGCTTCACGGCTTCTCTGCTCACAAAGATATGTGGCTGACTGTTGTCAAGGTTGGAGAAACTAGAAATTACTGAAAAAAAACTCATGGAACAAGCTGTCATAATTAAGAAAGTGCACACAATTACTGAATAATTTTTAGTCGTTCCACTTTCTCATGATCTTTTTTGCAGTACTTACCAAAGCACCTGCACATTGTGTGCGTGGACATGCCTGGACACGAGGGGACGACACGCACCAACACTGAGGATTACTCCGTTGAGGGGCAGGTCAGAAGGATCCATCAGGTACTCTGAGGAAAGGTCTTTGAAAATATCTTGTATGAGAGAATTTGTTAGTTCCCCCAAATATTTTAATATCTCTCATGCTTCCTAGTTTGTAGGAAGCATTCACTTAAACAGAAAAGCGTTCCATCTGGTGGGAACCTCCATGGGGGGAAATGTTGCCGGGGTTTATGCAGCCTGCTATCCCTCGGAGATCTGCAGCATGACTCTCATCTGTCCCGATGGTCAGTTATAGTGCACAATTCTTGAACTTTTCCACATTTTGTCATGTTACAACCTCACCCTCAGGCTATTTTATTTGAATTGTATATAACAAACAGAAACAAAGGGAGGGAAATTAATTGGAAGGAAAATGACACTTAGATTTCAAGGGTTTTCAAGTTTTATGATTGCAGCCAATTGTCTTTGTAAGTAACTTAGATATCCTAATATGTGTGATTTTATCCTTGTTACAAGTGCAGGTGTTTCACACCAGCAAACAAACAGCATCATGACAACCAAGCACCAAGGAACACAACAGACCGCTCAGAGAGAAAGTTGTGGAGAAATGTAAATAATATAAAATATAAAAAGTATGATAGACGTGCAAACCAACTCTGAAAAACCTGCAGAGACCAACAGCTCATTTGGGAGAATTTGTGGACTGGATAAGCATTTTTCTCACTTTGCAAATCTGGTCTTTATGGTAGTTTATTGACTTCTTGAATGAAATGTTTCCCATGCCACAAACCATAAAGAAGGAATAAGAGAGGGGGAAATGTGCTCTTATCAAAGCATTATGCTGTGGGTGTACCTTTTTAATTCACCCTGTATTTAGAGGAAAAATGCTGGGCAATTCTGCAAGAAAACTTGTTTAAGGCTGCAGAGGTCTTGAGGCCAGGGTGGATGTTAAATTTCAATCAACCCTAAATATCCAGCCAGAGCAGAACAGAGCAGCAAATGAATGGTTTAGGTCAAAGCATGTTGAAAACTTGAAAAAACATGTTCACAGTCTGACAGGGTTTGGGCTATATTTTAAAAAATAATGGACAAAAAGTTCAGACTATGCACATAGATTGTAAAGGCACATTCAAGATGACTCAGAACTGTAACTGTAGCAAAAGAAGGTTCAACAAGATGTTAGATCAGGGGTCTGAACATGAACTTTCCAAAATTGTAAATTTGGCTTTTCTTTGTAAATTTGGAAACCACACATCACTTCCCATCCACCTTAAAGTAGTGCACTATGTTGCTTTATCACATGCGATCTGAGAAAAATACACTCAAACTTTGTGGATGTAATGCTACCAAATGTGAAAAGGCATGTTCCTAATCAGTGAGACTCTGGGTTCATCTTTCAGGAATCAGACATCCATGTGAGACCAAATTTGACAATCACCTTCAAGACCTGGAACACAGCAACTTCACACTGAACATCCCGCTGATCCCGACGACACCAGACGAGATGGAGGACATGTTCAGACTCTGTTCTCACGTTCGCTTTAAAATTCCTCAGCAGGTCAGTCATGAAAAGTGAATTAAACTTTTAACTAATAAGGGGTGTTGACCGTGAAACGATTGTCACATTCTAAGGATTTCAAGGCTTTGTTATATAATTTCTTTAGATTCTTCAGGGACTGGTTGATGTGCGAGAACCTCACAACGCGTTTTATGAAGAAGGTTAGTTCATTGTTTTTTTTGTTGCAATGTCTTGGTATGATTATATTGAACAAATAAAATAGGGCTTTATTTTTATTAGTTTTTATGGAGATCATCGGTGAGAAATCAAGATATGCCTTACAGGAGCATTTACATCTCATAACTTCACCTTTACAAGTGATTTGGGGCAAACAAGATCAGGTAACTATGATGTTCGATCATTTTGCAAAAATCTCTTTAGCTACGTAAGGCGCATGTGCTGTCAAAACTATAAGCTTTTAAAGATTGTACCACAAGTTTCCCTTCTGAAATCACAGTGAGAAAGTGTGGAGAATATATGAAACTTGTATACATGTCCAGGTGGTGGATGTCTCTGGAGCTACAGTCATTGCTGAGTTGGTGCCTGGATGCAGGGTGGACTTGCTGGACAACTGTGGTCACTCTGTGGTGATGGAGAAGCCGTGTCGGACAGCCAAACTTATTCTGGAGTTTATCATCATGCAGCAAAACGCCAGGAGCGGCACAAAGAAGTCTTCTTGAATATTTAAGGTTTCCATTACTGTGTCACAGTTTCACAAAGACTTAAAACACGTGGACCGAAAGGCAAGAATTGCAATGTAGAGATGTTTATTGCTTTAAGGAACTGCATTTTATGAATGACTTAAACTCATGGACAGTAGGTTTGGGACATTGCTAAGCTTTTGCTGGTGTGCCCAGAGGTCTCTGGCAAGATTTACCCAAACTTTTAAAAAAATACATTTGCTGCTCACAAATGGAAAAATAAATAAATAAATAAATCCCTCACTATAAGAAATATCAAAACTGATATTTTACATTTTTTACATGTAAGTTTGTTCTTTGATAACGTTTTTCATTTTATTACTGATAAACTGACATATGTATAGAACACATCCTATTTCACTCTGACCCATTTCAGTTCAACTCCGTTTTATGAGGAGATTTAACTTGACAAACACAATTCTAACACATTCTGTGAATAAAGTCATAGGAAAAAATCTTCTCGTTTATTCTATGGATGATGGAAACACATATTGTGTATGCATATATATATTCAACCATGTTGGTTTGTGTAGGTTCTCCAAACTCGGGATTTCGCCTGTCTGCGCCTCATTAAATAGTCGTTTCGCGTCTCCGTCATGCAGTTTCGTGCCTTCTTTGGCTGTGAAGAAACGGAAGTGCTATTGAAGTCTCTGTGATGGATGTCTCTTTCCGCTCGTCCTGCCTGTAAACCCTTCCAGTGCTGTGTTTTTAAGATGTGGCTGTAGTTTCAGCGGGACCTCCTCCCCTCTTCCACCCGCCTTGGCTGCATCCTGGAGTCGACTGCAGCTGCCCCCAGTGCAGCATCATCAGTGACCGCCTGTCTCCTCGGTTAAAGTCTTACCCCCAATCTGCTTTTATTGGCTGAGACAAAAATATATATATTACCAATCCCTAAAGTTGAGCTGGTAAGGCTGCGCTTCATTGCGGTCCGTTTATATCCGCAGTTAGTTCGGTTCTGATCCAGTTGCTGAGCTCAGTTGTAACAGCGGCTAGTTTAATGGGTTGCTAGCTTTGTTAGCTTGTTAGCTAAAAACCAGCAGTGAGCTAGGCTAGCTAGGGTTGGGTTAAATGTGTTCGGTTTTGTTTTTGTGTTGTTTTTGTTGTTGTTGTTTTATGGCCAAACAAAGGCGAAATGAAGGATTGATTTGTACAGATTTATAATTAAAAATTAAAACACACTGAAACAGAAGCTTAATGCTACCTAAAATCTTTTTCGAAGCTTTTTTAATTTTCGTCATCAAAATGCATCAAAAGTACTAGTGTATGGCCTTATACGTTAAGAATCGGTGTATTATCATACTACACTAAATATTATGCTACCTACCCAGATTATCATGCTCGTAAGACGATGCTTTCTGCTGACTTGTATACATGCTCATACGGACAATACTGCATCAAATCGAGCTGCCTTGTTAAATGTGGCACTTAGATTTTTTTTAATTCTCAACACTAGTGTCATGCACCAAAAGTCGAATAACTGAATCTGTGTCCTCTGAATGAAAAGAGGTTTATAAATTGCTGAAGGCAATGCTGGATTCCACCTTCATGCGCTCTCCCCTGACCTGCTTTAGCCACATCAGCATTACTGCTGAGGTGCTGCAGGGAAAAATGTGCTATGCATCTGGCAGGGCAAGCCATGTGAGATCATTTCATTGATGATTTTACAAATACTTTTGGTGTTATCGACGTCTACAACACCAAATCGTAACTATTCGTAACTAATGAATAGTTACGATCCATGAACTGTTTCTAATGAATCTTTCATGATTCATTAGTTTTGATGTTTACGTGCTATTCTTAATCGAGACACATTTTTCTTGTGGAGGATCTTTTTAAATTTTTACTTTTTCTTTGTGATATGATTAAACAAATTCAATTCATTTATGTAGCACCAACTTGGGGAGGAATTTAGGAGTCACCTGGGAGGGAGAGTTTCCGCATAAAGAGGAGCCAGTTAAGATGGTCCAGGCAACTGTTCAGGATGCTTCCCTGGTGAAGTGTTCCTGGAAGACTGAGAAGATGCGACAGTGTGTTTAGGTTGGCCTGGGAACGACTTGGGCTAGCTCCACTTTTCTCAATTCCTGCTTTAGCTCAGCACAAAAAGTGAACCAGCTCTGAACTACAAAGCTAATAATTTAATTGAATAGACTTGCATAGTGAAAAATACAATTTGATTGACTTCTAAAGACCATCTCTAACGTGACCTGCTAGTCTATTTGTTTTGGGCCTCACATCCTTCTTCTTGTTTTCCCACAGGTAAAGTTAAAATGAACCAACTTTAATCCCTTCCTTCTCTGTTTTGGTTCGGACCTTGTGGGTATTAGTCTACAAATGGATAATGGAGACTGGGGCCATAGGGTAAGAGTTGAATGAAGTCAATCTTTTCTGTGTTAAAAATGTTCAAAATTGCAGTTAGTGTGTTTTTTTTTTTTTTGACAGATGACTACCCCTGTTACCCTGAACGTGGGAGGCCACCTGTACACCACCAGTCTATCCACCCTCCAGCGTTATCCGGACTCCATGCTCGGTGCCATGTTCCGGGGAGACTTCCCCACAACTCGTGATTCCCACGGGAATTATTTCATCGACCGCGATGGAACCCTTTTCCGATACATCCTGAACTTCTTGCGGACGTCCGAGCTCACCCTTCCTGTGGATTTCACAGAGACAGACCTGCTGAGGAAGGAGGCGGACTTCTACCAGATTGAACCTTTGATCCAGTGCCTTAACGACCCCAAGCCGCTGTACCCCCCAGACATCTTTGAGCAGGTGGTGGAGCTCTCTAGCACTCGAAAACTGTCAAAATACTCCAACCCTGTTGCGGTAATCATTACACAGCTGACCATAACAACAAAGGTTCACGCGCTGCTCGAGGGCATTTCCAACAACTTTACCAAGTGGAACAAACACATGATGGACACGAGAGACTGCCAGGTGTCTTTCACCTTCGGACCATGTGACTATCATCAAGAGGTGTCTTTAAGAGTCCACCTCATGGACTACATAATGAAACAAGGCTTCACTATTCGGAACACGAGGGTGCACCACATGAGTGAGCGCGCAAACGAGAACACCGTGGAGCATCACTGGACTTTCTGTAGACCAGCTCACAAAGTCGAAGACTGACTTGTGGCACAGCCGTTGTTGCTCGGACGTTACAGTGAGACCTGTCTTTGTAATGCATAAATCATTATTCAGCAAAAAATGATGTACTGCTGTTTTTTTTTATGTTTCATCCTGTATGAGAGAAGGCTTGAGCTTAATAGCAAAATCCATGCAGCAAAGGCAAATTAAAAATATAAATTTCTGACTTGCGAAACTGTTTAAGGAAAATATTTCTTGAGCTCAACCCGCATGTAGATTTTCTTGGAGTATTTGGAGTCTACAAAACATCCCAAGTGTTTTCCACATGTCTAATGATGCAAAAAAACGTCATTTTGACCGGAATTGAAAAAGAGCAAGTAATGAAAGTCATGCATTTATTTGAGACACATTGCCTGAGTTTGGTAGCAAATCTTTAATTGTAACACTAATTCATTTAAAACCTCAATTTGTAGGCCCAAGTTTAAAAAAAAAACATTTTTGGGGGGAAAACGTTCTCATTAGCAAAAAAGTAAACATTTTTCCCTCCACTGATAGTGGAGTGTACTAATTAATTTCTCTACTTGTATGTTTTGTCCAGTAGATGTCTGGTGAGTAAAATTAGACTTAGTCTCTTAGATCCCCTGTAGATCCCATGGTACTATTAGGCCCCTTCATAGTTGATGCATGTGTCTTGTGTATGTATAACTTATGTGTCTGCTGTTTGCACTTTATGATACTCTGTCATAATGTCAACAGTTATGTGTTTGATTGTTCCTGCCAAAAATAAACCAGTTTGTGTATTTCATTTTAATCATTTAGCTCTATTAAGACTTTTCCCTTGTCAATGACATCTTGAGTTGTAACTCATAGAAGGCTGCAACCAGTTTTAAAAATATTTTTTCTTCTTTCATTGGATGAAAATAATGCCTTGTTCCAGTCTGATTTCTAAGTAAACATAAGTTGCTCTTTTATTGTTTTGGTGTCGATCTGTTATATATTTTACCTCAAAATCGATGTCAAGTGTGTCTAAATGCAAAATGTTTTCCATGTTTGGGATGAAAAGCAACAGAGGAAAGTGAATATTCATTTGTTACACTGATTAGTTTTGAGTTTAATTTTTTGAATTTGGACAAAAAAAAATAGTAAAAATATGTTCTGCTTCTGACAGCAGAACATTTTGTTCCTCAAATTGGAATATTACATAAGATCTTTTTTTAAAAAGCAAAAAATATTCAATGTTTGTCAATCTGAAAAGCGTGTTTATGCACTACAGTTTTTGCATGAATCGGTGTGTTGTTTCTGAGGTTGCTTTAATAGTGGCCTTCACCTTGCTCGCATTATCAGCTCTGGTGAACTTCAGTTCTCAGGAATGTACACTGATACCGTGGCCTTTGAACCGGGCGCTGATTATTTTTTAAGGTGTGGGGATCAGTGAGCAGGTCACGAGTCTTGCTGGAAATCAAATCATTTTCATGAAGCTTGTCAGCAGAGGGAAGCATGAACTTCTCCTTGCAGACTGGTTTTTATATAATGTTTAAATAGAGAACATCAATTGTGAGTTATATTTGCTGTAAGTGTTTAAATTGAATTACTGGGATAAGTTCAGTTGTTTTTTTTTATTATATTTCATCCAATTTATTAAGATACACGTGTAAATTATAAGGTAGTGTGCTTTAATGGCCTTTTAAGGACTTATTTAATTTTAGGTTAAAAAGAAGTTCAATTAATGTTTTTATACGTGCAAAATGTAATTTACCACACTGGTGTATTTACAGAAACAGCGTCTATGACCTTGAAACCTTCTTACTATTAGATTACCAGTGAGACGTGAATCAGTTCATAACTCACTCACACGCGCAGCACACCCGGATGTCGCAAACTCCTGCATGGTGCGTTCGTTTTAAACGCCGTCACCGTTCGTCGCTGATGTGTCCGTAGCCTGCGACACGCTCCGCCGATCTCATCTGACTCTTAAAACGAGCGCACCTCCTCGCTGCTCTCGTAACGCCAGTAAAGGACGCAGTAAAGGTGGCTTCCTCTGCTTCTTCGGTTTCTAAGGAAGACGCGGCTGTAGGAGTGGTTCAGGAAGAGAAGCGCACGCTTGTGTCGCCGAGATGTTTCACAGAAGCAGAACCGTAAAAGGTTTGCTCAGTATTGTCCCTGGGAAACACCGACTCGGGGCGTACAGGTTCCTACCCATCTTTTTCTGCATTGGAGGAGTCATGGAGTGGATCATGATCAACGTGAGGATAGGACATGAAACGTTCTGTAAGTGTAAACACAAAGTCTGCTTCGCATGTTTAACCTTGATGCGAGGTTAGCATGTGTTAGCATTAGCGGTTCAAAACTTGATGTCTTCAAATGACAACTTGTGCCACTTGTCATGTTACAGGGGGGGGAAAAAGCTTTGTATTTTAAGACGCTTGATTGGTTAGTTGTGTTTACTGTAGTCACAATATTACACTTCCTTGTAGAAGTATTTATACGCATACGGCTGTATATTTACAGTTATTTACTGTTAAGTGCAGCCTTTCTTACAGTATTTAGCTTCATCCATCTTCGATTCAACACTATCTAGATTTCTATTCCTTGCTAATGAAATGTGTCCACAAAGCATGATTCTGCCACTACTGTGTTTTACTGAGGGAATGGTGTATTCTAAGTGATGTCCAGTGTTAATTTTATTCTACATATGGTATTTTTATTTTATTTTTTTATGTATGACAAAAGGCTCAATTTTGGTTTTATACAATGAGTCGTCATGCCTTAAATTTAAAAGTGGATTTCTACTCAAAGTGCATCATTGTTCAGCAAGCTCAAAACTAAGTGCATCAAAAAACATGCTGCTGGTTACTGTGTATGAAGACTGAAAATGTGTGAGCTTCCAGTTTTTGTATGTGCAATGAACTGGAGAAAAAAGAAAAATTGTAATTTTAAAATTTGATCAATCAATCAATTTGTAGGTGTATCAATATCCATCCATCCACCCACCCACAAAAAAACTTTGTCACAAAATATTGAACATCCTCATATTTTGTGTAGCACCTCAAAAACTAAAGTTTTTTAATTATAAAAGCAAAACATGAAATATCTTGGATCAGCCAAGATAGCAGTTATCTGCAGGTGAATTCTGTACAGCTTAATTTTGGGCTGGTTACCAAAAAATCATGAGTAGACCATTACAAATCAAACAGATTGTGTCTGAACAGTATGAACATACAACAGGTATTATTGCATATCTTACAGTTTTGTAAAATACCTGTTGTATGTTCATACTGTTCAGACACAATCTGTAGAGCGGTTCTAATTACATCCAGTTTAAGGAGCATTTGATTGATCCCTAGGACATAAACTTCATACCAAGTATGTCAGTAAAAGTATCCTAGTAGTTTTTTTCTGTTTTTGCACCTGTGATTACTCTTATGCCTGGGAGAACAGAATAAATGAAAAGACGAAAAGCAATAAACCAGTTTTTAAACCACCTCTGTTAACGCTGAACCGCTGTCATTTCTTTGGGTCATTTTTTTCACAGACGTTCTCTCTTATGTGGTTTGAGGAAAACATGACTCAAAAGTCTCTGCTGATTTAAAAAAATGCAGCAGTTTTTATCCTTTTGTACTCTGAGCCTCTCCAAGATAGAGAGGAATGTAGAAGAAGACTCATTTTTCATTCCTCATATTCTGATGACTGTAAAACTGCCTTTATGCTGTGTTATATATTGACGTGTCAGAAAATGTGCAGGAAAAAAAAAAAAAAAGAGATTTTTTATCTATTAAACATCCTGGTTAATCAATATAGGAAGTACCAGAAAGGCAGAAAATATGAAATTAGATTCTACATATGCTGCAGTGACAAATACATGGGTCATGTAAGTGGAACAGAGCCATTGTTAATGAATAGTAACACCTGTACTTTTCCTGTTGCTCCACATTACTCACCCAAGGAAGTAAGGATGCCAAGTATCGATTCAGCTAAATGTTCTATTGTATCCATAAGAAGGCTGCACTTCATTTCTTATGTCTTCATTGTTCTTTTTTTTTTCCTTAACAGACGATGTCTACAGAAGGAAAAAATCAGAGCGGCAGTACCAGCAGAAAGTAGCAGACGGTCTCGTTGTACTAGATCAACATGGAGCCAAGTGAATGATGGTCACACTTCACAAGAGTTACCTGAGGACGCACTGTTGGACTCAAACTCCCTCCCTGGTTTCACAATTTAGTTGCAAGCGCGGAGACGCTCTGGACAAAAAAAGATGATGGAGGAATCCCTTCCGGCTTGCAAGTTTTGAAAATACTGAGTCAAAAAAAGAAAAAAACACAAGTTAATCTTAGTGTAATATCATCTGAGATTAAGACTGATTTAAGTGACAATGAGTAATACTAAAGTAACAGAACAAAATATTTGTATCTATAATTTGAGATATTTTATGGTTGAGGTAATGACATTATAAAAATGCATCTCAAAACTATTCAGCCAGATTGTTCTTATTCTGTCATTCATCCTTATCCCTCATTCGCTCAGTGAAATTGTGCGTTTTTATGTGTCAGTTGCACCAGCCGACAGAAAGGGACTGCAGGCAGATGAAACTGTTTAGGTCCCCCTTCAGCCTCACGCCGTCCAGGATGGATCGTAGGAAGTGGCTGGAGAAATGAAAGAAAGAAAAAGACAGAACATTGGGATGCTGTGTAGCCTGAAGTGCTAAAAGGATTGACTGTACGTCTTTCTCTTCTCTTTAATTAAAAGAAAAAATGCATTAGGCCTTACATGCAGGTGAAAAACACGAAGGGATCCTTTAAGTTTAGACACTGCTGTTAGTTCATTATCTTCTGAGTCTTTTGAAATGTAACATTTTGTGTTGCTACAGTGACAAGGAAAATAATGATGGATGGCATTGAACATATACACTGAAAAAAATCGATAGCTTTCAGCATTGATCCCTTGTAGTCAGAAACCCTTCAATAACATCAAATACTCCCAGTTGCATTCAGAATAATTCAAACTGAGTCACCTGAATTAAAAAAAAGCACTTACTTTGTGAAGGCATCAGCCAGTGCTACAGTAGGAGCTACTTCAGCAAAGCATTTTCATGTGTTAGAATGGCCTAGTCAAAGTCCAGACCTATAGCCAACGTGAACAAAGCTTAGCAATAGCTGTTTTTGCAATAATAAACAAAACTTTCATTCCATTCATATGCAAAGCTGGGAGAAATGCACCCTGAAAGCTGTCAGCTTTACCACAGATTTTTCAGATTTTTATTTGGAAAAGATATTGGAAGTAATTGTACTTCCTTTCCACTCACAATTATGCGCTGCTTTATGTTGTTGTCTATCATCAAATTTTAATGAAATACATTAAAGTTTGTGCTACCAAATTGACAAAAGGTGAAGTTCCTGTTGTGTGAATACTTTTACAAGGCATAGCATATTAATTCTATGTCACAAGTGTCAGTAGAGTCTTGTTTGCTTATTTTTGAGATTTTGTTGAACTGTGCATAGAAGTATGCAGTTTCTTTCGGCAGTTACAGCACAGCAGCCAGGTCGGGGAAATTTCCTCACATTAAACGAATGCGCTCAGGCAGACACACATCAGACATATTGGCAGCTCTGAAAAAGGTCACATCTGCTCTTTAGATTCTTTATACATGCCCAGACTGCCTAATGAACACCCCAGCTCAGTGGTCTCACCAATGTCACTTTGCTATTTAAAATGTGACACGTGTAGTTTTTGATGGAATCACCTAATCATTTCTTTTATTGCATAAGAATCATAGGAAAAAAAAGAAGAAGTGGTAAACACCTCGTCAAGTGTTGCATAATCAGACTGAACAGTTTTCAGAAAGTAATTTTCTGAATAAATGTCACTGTTTGCCTCCTGAACTGCTAACACGTCGGGGTCCACATCGTGCTGGAGGCTGTCATCTGGAATATTCACAATCTCAGCCTGAAAAAAGGTTTTAAAGAAAAGTGTTTCTCAGCTCTTCTTCTATCACCCTCAAACTTGCTTTACCTGTCTACTTATTTGAATGGTACATAAACACCAGAAGACACTCACTGCAGGCTGCCTTGCTTTCATGGATTCATCCTCTTTGCCAGATAAAGGTCTGGCAGAGAGAAAAATCGATGCAAAGATTAAAATCCATGGACGCATTAAAAGAGATCGCTGCCTCCTCCACTGTGAGCAGGAGAAGATTTCAATTCAGTTTTCATTAAGCTGCCAATATATTACTGAGTAAAGGAAACAGACTTTTTAACTCAATGAACTCCTGTCACATTAATTGCCTGTTTGGAACAAATACAATCTGAGATTGGTAAAATGTGGAGTGACTTGGCATGAGCTGTATGTTAACCTTGTTTAAAAATATAGTGGTTTAAATTGACAATTTTGAAATATGTAATGTGTTTTTTATTAAACACTGGAGAGCAACAATTATTACTACTTTTAAAATGCAACTTTGACTTAACCTTAAATGTTAAGTGTAATTATACAGTTAAAACTGTTATAGCACATAATTTTTCTCAGAAATTAAATCAGACAAATCTTGGTAGTCCATTTAGCAAAATCATTTATATTAGCTGGATGCGAAAATAATATATGCATGTTTTATTTTGTTACTACTTTGACATGCTGTGACAGTTTTTGGGAAGCCCAGGTGATTATTATATTTCAGACTTCTGATTGCTCAACGTTAGAGTGAATTAAAGTCTCAGAGAGCTTTACCTACAGAAAGGACAAATAAAAAAGATACACTGCCTTGTAATAAAATGTAGTTTTAGTAAATTCTTATTGACTTTGGTGCATTAAACAGTTTGGTTTTAAATTTTGACACCAAGACTTATGGCAGTTCTGGTGTGAAGTATGATATGGGGAGCTGAAGCCTGCTTTGCATCAACATTGATGATGAATACATGAAGCAAAATGGGAGGCTTTATGTATCCAAACATTTTACTTTTCTGATATAAAAGATATTTGCCTATTCACACATTTTATTGATAAAATCAAATTAGGTTCATGGTTAAAAGTGTGTTAGCCTACTTACTCTGTTAGGAAGTATTTGAAACTCCTGTTCATCATGAATGCTATGTATATACCACCATATTATTTCTATTTTTACGTTTTTGCAAAAATAGGATGGATACATCTCCTTCCATGGGATGTTGATATTTATGAAAAAGCACATTGCTTTCAACCTAATGACAAGAAAATTGGCATAAAAGTCAAATACTGGCACTTTGAGTGAGAATATATAGTGAAATTTCAATGAAATGATTCGAGGAAAAACCTGGAAATCCGCTAAAAGCCGCATTTATTATAATATTTCAATTTAAAATCATTAAGTTGACTATGATGTTCAGAGCCACTGTAAGGGGCCCAAACAGCCATCTGCGGCTTTAGAGCAGGTTAGACACCTTGGATAGAGGATGCAGAAGACAGCATTAAACAGAGGCACGAGCTGTTCGCTGTGGTGACACTTTAGGGGGAAGAGTGAAAAGTCTAATTTAATAACATGCAGACTTTATTGATTGATGTGGATTTGAACAAACTTTCATGCTTGAGAGACATTTTGCAACAACGCTCTGAAGTTGGAAATCAGTTCTATCTCAGTACGAAGCCCAGAAGGGCTGTAACAGATTATATAAGAAGTGTGAACGCGTTAAAACACACAGCCGTATAGGCTAATATACTCGTTTTGGAACGGTAACAAGTTAACTTAGTCTTAGTAAACGATGTTTTATCTTCGGCAGAAAAGCAGCGCCTGCATTACGTAAGGCAGATGTGTGGCGAGAAAGGAGGAAACAGAAGTGCCAGTGTAGCGGAAGTGGTACTGCCCTGAACGCTGAGCGAGACGGAGGACGGAGGCTGAATCGTCCAGAGAGTGAAAAAAACCCGACAAAAAAAGCAGGATTAAAAGTCACCAATTTTGTAAGTGTAATAACTTAGCGCGTCTGAATATCGCACGATAGCACTACCTTTTCATTGGTAATTCGGCGGGAGAAGAGCTGTTTTTCATCGTGTGCGGCTGTATCCTGTTGAGAAGCCATCATAACCGAGAGGCTAGGCTAGCTGCTAACCGACGGTCGGATTCCATGACACTTTTGTTCTGACAGGCTCGGCAGCCTGGGCGGGCCGAGTCTTACGGCTGGGGAAAATACGCTAAAACGTTCACGTAGCTCACCGAATTGCCACGATTTGTTCTCGTCTGGTTTTATAGTTCCACCAGAAGAATCGTTGCTGTCCCGTTCTTGTTTTAAATAATTTAACGTGGCCGTTGAAATTTTCTCTACTGGCCTAGCAAAGACAGCGGCAGCCAGGCGACGGTAGCTAGCCAACTGTTAGCTTCTCCATTCGTTTTGCGTTATCACGACAGATTAGCTCCCCGTGCGTTCTCTGGTCAATTAAGGACACACACTTAAATGTAATCTAATAGAAAACCTAAACCACTTCTGGGGTATTTTTCAAAGTAGCGTTAATATTGGGCCATTAAATACGGCAGCCCGCTAGCGCTACTAGCAACCTCAGGGGAGGGCATTAAAGGCTGACCCGGGAAAGCTTCGGTTGGTTCTGTAGATTAGGGGATTAATTTGAAATATATTGATCCAATAAAACACTCATGAATGTTAAATTTAAGCACCTTACACCTGTGTATGTTGACGAGTGAGCACACAGCAGGTTTGGGATGAGAGAGTCAAGATTGGGGAGCGCTACCAACGAGCTAACAGCTAAACCTTAGCTAGTGATGTGTATGACTGACCCAGTTGCCAGGGGGACTCAGTTCAAACTTATACATAATTTCTGTATAACATAATGGTGTCTACCAAAGAGCTAGCAAACTGTGTTAATCTCAACAGAAAGTTCTGATTATTCCATAGAAATGTGAACTGTCCACCTTAAAATATGATCATCCAGGTGTACATATCTAGCTATTGACATTGCCTCTTCTTTTTTTCCAGTCTAGAAAATGGATAAGAACGACCTGGTACAGAAGGCCAAGCTTGCTGAGCAGGCTGAGCGCTACGATGACATGGCTGCAGCCATGAAGTCAGTGACAGAGCAAGGCGCAGAGCTCTCGAATGAGGAGCGTAACCTTCTCTCTGTGGCCTACAAGAATGTGGTTGGGGCACGTCGTTCATCCTGGCGTGTAATTTCCAGCATCGAGCAGAAGACTGAGGGCAATGACAAAAAACAGCAGATGGCACGTGAATACAGGGAGAAGATAGAAACTGAACTGCAAGAAATCTGCCATGATGTGCTTGTAAGCGTTTAATTGTGAGAACTGCGCCCTTTCTTGTATTCAAGGTGATGTTTCTAAACTGTTTCTCATGTGTTGATTTCAGGGGCTACTGGACAACTTTCTCATTGCCAACGCATCTGCTGCTGAGAGCAAGGTGTTCTACCTGAAGATGAAAGGCGACTATTATAGATACCTTTCTGAGGTTGCATCTGGAGAGTCTAAGAAGGGTAATTATATTATTTCAACATTGTGTAACAATGTTTAACTTGACTTGAAAATAGGGATTTGAAAGACGATTTAAAAGCTCATGAAAATCCTTATTCTCAAAAGAATGTTTTTATAGAACAATCGCAATGTTTGTCAAACTGGAAATATCCCTTTAATAGACTCTTTTCTGCTTCAAAATTCAGTCACTTTTATACTTGGGTAATATTTCCTTAACAGAAATCAAAGGAAAAAACAAGACGTCTCATAATTTGAATTGCATACTACTTTGCTGTTTGAGACATTTTTGTGTAAACTTTTTAAAGTGTTGTGCTCAGACAGCATATTAGTTTATTTGCTTTTTTGCTGCTCTCATGTCTACCTTAAAAGTTTGTGAAAAATTGACAATTTCATTTTTTCTTGTTAATACAGAGACAGTGGACAATTCCCAGCAAGCGTACCAGCAAGCTTTTGACATTAGCAAGGGGGAGATGCAGCCAACACACCCCATTAGGCTTGGCCTTGCCCTCAACTTCTCAGTCTTCTATTATGAAATCCTCAACAACCCGGACAAGGCCTGTAGCCTGGCTAAGACGGTATGAACCAAACCCTAATAATCTACTTCTAGTCTTTAAAAAAAAAAAAAAAAAAAGTAAGACTATTGCAGACTGATTGATGTTTAGTTATATATTGAACATTTTGGAGATTGTGTAAATCAGAGGAAATTAGACCAACTATTGTCTTTGTGGAAGTTGAGTTTTGTTTTTTGGATTTGTTTTTCTTTTTTCTATCAGGCATTTGATGAAGCAATTGCTGAACTTGACACTTTGAACGAGGACTCTTACAAAGACAGCACCCTGATCATGCAACTACTAAGGGACAACCTGACTGTGAGTTCCATGTTTGGGATGTCCTGTGTGATCTTGATGTCTTTCCTGACAAATATC